TATATATATATATACATATTGTACAAAAAAAAACGATACAAAAATACGACACTGGATTTTACCCACATAATAGTCGCGTGAAAACATAATATACCTGTACATATATATATCTATCTACAGTTAGGCAATACTGTACATAATGTGTCCAGGAAATGAGGAACACGTTTCACACATGTCTCACACGTAATTTATTCATATGTAGAATGTTTATTTCAGTATCCAATCTGTCTTGTGGAAACCATTATATCTAAGAGAAAAATGATCTAAAGAAATTAAAAAAAAAAAAAATATATATATATATATATGAAAAAAGAAAAGATAACGAAAAGAAAAAAAATATATATATATATAATAATAAGTGAAAAAGTAGAGACGGAGAGAGACTGCATATATATATATTTCGATTGCAACGACGTAGAGAAAAAAAGAAAAAAAAAAAAAGGTACACATTTTTTACAGTGAATGAAAGAGAAGACCGATGATCCATTCTTTTTTTTAGACCTAGGATTAATGATACAGATTGGGAACTGCGAAAGGGACATTCTCATATACCCATGCTTGTTATTTTTTTGCTGGATTTATCCACTGTTTTTTTACATTATTTTTTCCCTCTTATTTTCTTTTGAATTCTGTGGGGGCTTGTGTTGTAAATATCGCTGCTTGCCAATTTACGTATATACGTATATATATACACACTCTGTATGTATATATATGAATTCATTTCTCGGGACGACGAGGGAGCGTCTAATTTCTCGTACGGTCCAAATGAGTGTAAAAGTTCGATTCTCTATTATTTATACTTCTTCATTCACGAAAGCTACCCTACTTATTTCCGTATTACGAATACAAAGCATGTGGTTTATGTTATTTGTGAGAAAGTTTCTTTTCACAGTTCTTATATTATGCTTTTTTCTTTTTTTTTCCTCTCCCGTCACCACCACCACCACCACCACCACCACCACCACCACCACCGCCACCACAACCACCAATCACCTACCATCACCCCCACCGACTCTACACCACGACTCTACACTGAAAAAAAAAAAAAACAACAACAACAACAAAACAAAATCAACCATTCGAAACGGATGGATGTTTCGGTGATCCAGAGCGCGAATGCACCAGCGATCTCGAGTGCCCGAACGAAAAGGCCTGCATAAATCTGCAATGCGTGGACCCGTGCGGTCTCCGTGGCGCCTGCGGGATCAACGCCCTGTGCCGCGTGGTTCTGCACAAACCGCGATGCTCCTGCCCCCAGTGTTATATCGGTATGCCTCACACGGCCTGCCATCCGGACCCGAAATGCGAAACGTTGAATCCGAGACCGACGCCGAACATCGGTTGCTCGTCGGACCGCGACTGCCCGGAGAGCTTGTCGTGTCACACTCGCACCGGCGAGTGCCGCGACCCGTGCCTCAGCTCCCGATACACCTGCGAGGTGAACAAGAGGTGCCAGGTGCGGAACCACAGGCCCATGTGCGTGTGCAAATACGGTTTCGTCGTGAACGAGGTCGGCGAGCTGACGTGCGCCCCGGACACGTTGACGTGCACCAGGGATTTCGACTGCCCGTCGAACGCCGCGTGCGTGAACGGGAAATGCCAGAACCCGTGTAACGTGAGAAAGAAAAAGCCGTGCCCGGCTGATAAAACCTGCGACGTCCTGGACCACCGTCCCGTCTGCATATGCACACAAAACTGCAATCCCTCCCTCTCCATTTGCCTGCGAGACAGTGGCTGCTCTCCAGACTTGGCGTGCCGCAACTATCGCTGCGTGGACCCATGCAGAAACTCCACCTGTCCGGCTGATGCCCCCTGTTACGTGGAGGAGCACAAGCCTATCTGCAAGTTCTGTCCCCCCGGCTTTGTGCCAGATATTAAATACGGATGCATGAAAGGTAAACACCATTTCTCACCACCTATCTCACTCTCTCTATTCTCTCTATTCGCTCTCACTCGCACTCTCGTTCTTCTACATAGATCTGTCTCGCTCCACTTTCTTTTTTTTTTTATGATATCTTATATATATATATATAGTTATATACATCTTATATACATATAGTTCTTTGACACTTCTTCTTTTTTTTTTTTTTTCCATTCACCAAATTTGGTTCACGATTCTTGTCTACGATTCTTATTCGGCTAATATATATATATATACTGTGATTATACTGTTATACTATACACCAAACATACCGATTGCTACTTTTCAGGTTTCTCAGAACGTTCAGACAGCGGATATTTCGAAAAAATTAATTTTTGATCGATGTTGATTTCTTTTTTTTCAAGTGAAATTGTTCGTCATTTCTTTATTCCGTTGTCTGAATGGAAGATATATAAAAAACGTTTCAGGTTCCAAATGCCACAGATACAACTGTTCATCATTCCGATTACCTATACTCTCCTATGTCCTATACTGTTCAACGATTATTTTTTTTTTTTTCCCGTTACATCTGTCTCTGTAAAGACTTAATCGATTATATATATACATTTCTGATCGATAGCTTGTCTATTTATCGCGCGAGCATGCTTAACTTAATCCTAATAATTCGTAGATTTTTTTTTTTTTTTTACTTGGAGTAAGCCAGTAAACGATGGATCGTAGTTATTAGCGTAATCGAGAGAGAATGAAAATGCTTGAGAACGTTTCAGCCGCCTCTTTGACTCGAGCTACTCGACTTCTCTTGGCCTCGTTCACCTTTTATATTCTTCACCTGTTTATATTCTATTGTATCCGCAGTCCACCACACGACCGAACATTTCTGCGAGTCCGATGACGAATGCAGCGACACAAAAGCCTGTGTCCTAGGATCCTGCACTGATCCTTGCGTCGACCACTGTCCTGTGGCAGTTCGATGCCTGGTTAAAGCGCACAGGCCTGTTTGTTGCAACGAACACGATCACACAGACACCACAACTATGCGAACAACCTCTGTTTTCGAACGTACGAAAACACCAGGAATCGTAGCGTATACCTCAACAGTTCAAAGCGAAGAAAGTACAACAATTTCGTATTCGAGTACCGAGCCCACGACTCAAGTAGTCGCTGAAACTTCTATCGTCGAAGAAAGTACTCCCACATTCACGACGAGTGAATCGACTTTGCCCACGACAATAACATATGATCGTGGAACCATCACGACGACAAGTGTTGAAAGTATGGAGAGTACAACTAGTTTTTCACAAGTATCTACTGTTAAAGATATTTTCGAGACGACTACCGAAGTTGTTCCGACTGTAGGTGGTATCGAGATGGGTAACGAAACTACTTCTGTATCTTATACTTATGGTACAGAATACATTTCGACTAATGAAATAACGTTTACCACGGAATTGAGTAGATTACCGACTATAAGCAGTAAAGTAACTGAACCAAGTAAAGTTCATATAGTCACCCCTGTTTATCCTTCGGAAAACGCCACTATACCAAAATCGGGAGAAGTATTTACAGTTACTCCGATATATATAAATGAATATACTACGGAAATGCCAAAAGTTACTACGGAATTCATTAATATATCTAGTGAAAGTAGTTCTACTCAGAATGTTACGTTTGAAGAAACTAGTACCGAGATGGTTACTGAGAATTTAGAGACGACAGAAAGCGTAACATTGATTACTGTGACGGCACAGTATCCTTTGAAACATAAAACGACGATTAAACAGTTCACGGAGTTGCCTCAAATTACGGAACAATATGCTACAAAACCATTCTCACCAATGGGACAATTCACTACAGAGAAAGTGGGAACAACTACACAATATTCTACGGAACAACCCTCAGAAACTGAACGATCTACTGAAAAATCTGTAACAGAATTTTTGACGGAACAATATTCAACAACGCAAGAATATTCTACTGAACGACAATCAACGACAGAAGAGATTTCGACAACTATACAATATTCAACACAACAACCCTCAACAATTGTATATTCTACAGAAAAGGTTCCAACAACTGAACGATATTTCACAGAACAGCCACAAACCACACAATATTTAACAGAAGTTCCTTCAACAACTGAGCAATATATTACAGAACAATCACCAACAACAGCACAACAGTCAACAGAAATGACTTCAACAACTACACAAAAATCTTTAACAACTGAATTTTCTACGCATTTCCCTCTAATAACTGAACAATATTCCACAGAACAACCACTAACAACACAATATACAACACAATATTCAACAGAAATGCCTGTAACAACTATACAACATACTACGCACCAATTTTTAATGCCTGAATACTCAACGGAACAACTTTTAACAACAGAATTTTATCCAACAAGTAAATACTCTACAAAAATGCCTTCAACTGAATATTTTACTGAATTGCCTACAACAATTGAATATTCTACTGAACTGCCTTCAACAACTAAATACTCTACAACACTATCTTCGACAACTGAATACTCTATAGAATTGCCTTCAACAATTAAATATTCTACTGAACTGCCTACAACAACTGAATATTTTACAGAATTGTTCTCAACAACTGAATATTCAACTAAACTGCCTTCCACAACTCAGAAATATTCCACAGAATTGTCTCCAACAACTAAATATTTTACAGAGCTACCTTCAACAACTGAATATTCTACAAAATTGCCTTCAACAATTGAATATTCTACTGAAATACCTTCAATATCTCAAGAATATTCCACAGAAGAACCTCGAACAACAACAGAATATCCAAAAGAAATATCTTTAACAACTACGCAACATATTATTCAACAATCCTCGACAACTGAACTTTCTACTCATATTTTTTCGACAACTGAGCAATATTCTACGGAACAATCACCGACCACAATACCATATTCAACAGAAAAATCAACAACCATACAGTATTCAACAAAGCAACTTCCAACGATTGAATATATTACTGAACAACCTACAACTAAACAATATTCCATGGAATATCCACAGACTACACTACAATATTCCACAGAACAACCTCAGACAACTCTACAATATTCTACGGAAACTTCTACGGAACAATCTTCTACAATTAGCAAACATTTTACTGAACAACCGCCGACCACAATACCATATTCAACAGAACAATTTCCAACAACTGAGCACATTACTAAACAATCTACAACTGAACAATATTCCATGGAACAACCTCAGACAACTCTACAATATTCTACAGAAACTTCTAAGGAACAATCTTCTACAATTAGCAAACATTTTACTGAACAACCGACCACAATACCATATTCAACAGAACAATTTCCAACAATTGAGCACATTACTAAACAATCTACAACTGAACAATATTCCATGAAACAACCTCAGACAACTCTACAATATTCTACGGAAACTTCTACGGAACAATCTTCTACAATTAGCAAATATTTTACTGAACAACCGACCACAATACCATATTCAACAGAAAAATCAACAATCATACAGTATTCAACAGAACAATTTTCAACGACTGAAAATATTACCGAACTATCTACAACTCAGCAATATTCGACGATGTATCCACAAACCACACTGCAATATTCCACAGAAACTTCTACGGAACAATCTTCTACAATTAGCAAACATTTTACTGAACAACTGTCGACTACCATATCATATTCAACAGAAAAATCAACCATACAGTATTCAACAGAACAACTTTCAACAACTGAATACATTACTAAGCAACCTACAATTGAACGATATTCCACGGAACAACCTCAAACAACTCTCCAATATTCTACAGAAACTTCTACTGAACAATCTTCTATAATTAGCAAACATTTTACTGAACAATCACCGATTACAATACCATATTCAACAGAACAACTTTCAACGACTGAATACATTACCAAACAACCTACAACTGAACAATATTCCACGGAACAACCTCAGACAACTCTACAATATTCTACGGAACAATCTTCTACAATTAGCAAATATTTTACTGAACAACCGCCGACCACAATACCATATTCAACAGAACAACTTCCAACAACTGAGCACATTACTAAACAATCTACAATTGAACAATATTCCACGGAACAACCTCAGACAACTCTACAATATTCTACAGAAATTTCTACAGAACAATCTTCTACAATTAGCAAACATTTTACTGAACAACCACCGATCACAATATCATATTCAACAGAACAACTTTCAACGACTGAATACATTACCAAACAACCTACAACTGAAGAATATTCCACAGAACAATCTCAGACAACTCTACAATATTCTACGGAAATTTCTACAGAACAATCTTCTACAATTAGCAAACATTTTACTGAACAATCACCGATCACAATAGCAACAGAAAAATCAACAATACAGTATTCAACAGAACAACTTTCAACGACTGAATACATTACCGAACAACCTACAACTGAACAATTTTCCATGGAATATCCAGAGACCACACTACAATATTCCACGGAACAACCTCAGACATTACAATATTCTACGGAAACTTCTACAATTAGCAAACATTTTACTGAAAAACCAACGATCACAATACCATATTCAACAGAAAAATCAACTATACAGTATTCAACAGAATTTCCAACGACTGAATACATTACTAAACAGCCTACAACTGAACAATATTCCATGGAATATCCACAAACAACACTGCAATATTCTACGGAACAATCTTCTACGATTAGCAAGCATTTCACTGAACAACCACCGACCACGATACCATATTCAACAGAAAAATCAACAACCATACAGTATTCAACAGAACAATTTTCAACGACTGAAAGTATTAGCAAACTATCTACAACTCAGCAATATTCGACGATGTATCCACAAACCACACTGCAATATTCCACGGAACAACTTTCAACAACAGAACTGTACATTACAGAGTTAGAACCATTCACCACTGAATCATACACTACTCTAACAGTACCTATAATAACTCTAGGACTTTGCAATCAAACTGTCGTCAATGGTTCTGAATGTAAAATCTGTTTGAACGGCACGTGTCAACGGCTCGTGTGCTTCAATCTAAGGAGTCAGAGTACACCTTATTGTTGCATACTCCCAGGTAAAAGATCTTTCTCGTCGGGAGTCTCATAGTAAATGTGTTGTTCTCGTGTTCTATATGTTTCGACAAACATTATCCAGTGTGATATCATCATCCAGGTGAAAGTATACATCCAGATAAAAATTGGGGGCAACCAATTCTGGAAAATTTTTCTTCATCATTTTTGTGATCGATAGATCGTAAATTTACGATCATGATATGTGGTCATTGAACGATTTTTCATAGGAACGTTAAATAAAACATTTGTTAAATATATACGTAATACATATAAGTAATGATTACAATTCAATGTTGCGATCCAATGCAGACATGGACTTGCTGCATTTTGTAGCTCTTTTGCATGTTGTATATTATTGTATTTGCGCCTCTGCACGTTTTCTTCTTGCTTATCTATATATGTAGCAATTAATTGTAATTTTTTTTTGTGGAGTCCAAGGAATTTTAAAGGAAACTGTCGAGAAAATTTTCTTTATGATTTACATTTATTTTAAAACGATATATATATATATATTTTTTTTTTACTATAGAAATAATAATTTGTAAATGTTTAACAAAATGTTTCCTTTAAAAGTAGTAAAACTAACGACTATTTCTGGGCTTTACACATATAACACAAGAACCATTATATGTTTTAGAAAAAAATTATTATATATCTACGTATTTTTTTCTGTGTTTATTATTGTGTATTAGTTATATTGTTTTATTAGTTTTTTTTATTTAGATATATGTGTATAATTTTTTTTTCATATATGTCATTTGAAAATTTCATTTAGAGAAATCATCGAGTCATACGATTAATGAATAAATTTTAAGTTTTTTTTTTTTTTTACTGAAAAGTTAAATTTGAAATTACTCACGTGAACGAGTTATTTTGAGCTTCTAATATACATTCGTTTCATCAGATACCAAATGCAAAACGCATGACGACTGTCTCTCTCAATTGGCCTGCATAAACGATCAATGTCTGAATCCGTGCACTGTTCATAATCCATGCGACTTCGTGGAAATCTGCCATGTCCAAGATCACAGACCTGTTTGCGTGAAAGGTAGAATATTCAAATAAAATTAAATCAGATATACAAAATTTAAAGAAGAAAAAAAAATTGGATGCAATAAAATGTGCAAAGAAAACGATAGAAATCAATTCATAAAAATTATCAATCAATTTTTGAAAATTTAATCTTTGCAGAACTAAAATTTTATCACTTGATACTCACATCTCACAAAAATTTAAATAAAAATCATTTGCATCCTCTTTTTATTATTTCAAAGATAATAATTTTCACAAAATAAATCTTTTCTTTTCTTTTCAATTTTCTCAGAGGTGACAAACGAGACAAACTGTCCTTATTGTCCACCAGGAATGGAGTGCGATCCAGCGACGTATACTTGCGTGAAAGGTTCGTACAAGATCGAGCATCTAATTTCGATCTTCCATTTTTTACCTATTTTTTACAGCGTTCATTTAACTCGTCCTGTAAATATGTATGTATTGTACATATTGCATATTGCGCGTTTCACGACGTGCAATTTTAATTTCACTTTATTCTTCACACGAATATTTCCACGATTCTCAATTATATCTTTCATTCAATATCCAAATCTTTAATCTTTTCTAAACCTATATAAAAATCATTCAACACGATACTTTGACATCAATATCGATCTTCGCACATAAAAGATACATAAAAGATAAAGTACACCGTGTTTTATACAATGACTGATTCACCTGAGCAATTACACTCGACACAGGGAGCCTTACCACCCTTATACCACTTTTATACCATTGCACTCTTTCTCGGGGCTATACGGGCTTTTTTCTCAATCTTTCCTTAGCGGGTTGCACTATCCACAAAGATTGCCCGCTGACAGAGGCATGCATTGAGGGCACTTGTCAGGAACCGTGCCTCGTTTGGAATCCTTGCGCCCAAAACGCGATCTGCGTTAACACCAATCACCGCGCGGATTGCAGCTGCGAGGATGGTTATCATGGGAATGGATTCAATTACTGTGAACCAGGTATTAAATTTTTCATTATGGATACTCTTACTTCTTAATTTCGTTCTTCCAATTAGTTTTAATATATCTATGTTATAAATATTTGTGTTATCAAATTAAATTATAGAATATAGATTTTTTGAAAGTATTTGAAAAATGATAGAGTAAAATATTATTTGAAGATAGTATTAATGAAATGTTCGCGTTTTAATATTCCAATATAAATATAAAATCGTAAAAACGAATAATAATTTCTGACTTTTAACATCAAAATAATAATATTCTAATATTAAAAATAAAATTTCATTCATTCCAGAGGAAGAAGGTAGAAACGTGTGTCAGTACAATGAGGATTGTCCATCATATAAATTTTGCGACCGTCTCAACCGGAAGTGCATCGACCCTTGCCTGAAGACCGATTGTGGTCTGAACGCGAGTTGTTATCCGGAGAACCATCAAGCACAATGCAAGTGCTTGCTCGGATTCCAAGGAAAACCTTACGTTGGTTGCACGCCAGTGACCACGGATCCATGTGTTCCAAACCCTTGCGGTTTGGACGCGATGTGCGAGAACGATAATGGCAATCCGATATGCTTCTGTCCTAAGGGATTGACTGGAAATCCTTTCGAGCAATGCAGTAAGATTTTCAAATATAATTCTTTCTTTTTTAAAACGATTAATCGTTTTAAAACATGAATTATCTCGTGCAAGCAAATATAAAAAATGGTTATGTTAAATTAAAATTGAAAATGATAATTCAAATTTTTAATGGAAAATTTAAAAATTTCTTATTCAGTACCAGAAGGAGATCAATGTCAAGAAAATTTGTGTGGTGTCAATTCCGGTTGCCGCGTGATATCAGGACAAGTGAGATGCTTCTGTTTACCAGGATACGAAGGAAATCCTCCTGATTCTCCCTGCACGCTTCCCAACAATCCTTGCGAACCGTCTCCTTGTGGACCTAATACTCAATGCACGATACTGAACAGCGGTTTAGCAAAGTGTACTTGCCTGCCAGGATACATCGAGAGTCCAAATACAATCAGAGGATGTATACCTAAATCTGATCAATGTAATCCTAATACTTGTGGTTTGGGTGCTGCATGCGATTCGAGTAGAGTGCCTCCTTGCTATTGTCCGGAGCACACTGTTGGAAATCCTTACCAGAGCTGTGCAGGTGAGCATTTAAAACCAATTAAAAATAATGAAAAAAAAAAATAATAACGTAGAAATTAAAAAGAATTAACCAATTAGATTAATTGCCTAACCATTGTTCTAATTATTCAGAATAGAACATCTATGATAAAGAAATTTCTTTAAAAAAAATTTATTATCCATTTCCAGTACCTCCAAGTGACGTATTCGAGCCTTGTTTATTGGTGCCATGTGGAAAGAATGCTATTTGTGTCGAGGAACACGGTGTCCCCAAATGCAAGTGTGTTCCACCATTTATTGGAAATCCATATATAGACGGTTGTGAAGCGGAGTGCGTTGTGAATCAAGATTGCGACAATCATCTCGCCTGCTTCAATCAGCATTGTAGGGATCCTTGTCCAGGTGTCTGTGGTTCCAATGCAAAATGTGAAGTAATCGATCACGTGCCGGTTTGCTCTTGTTTGCCTGGCTATACTGGGGATCCATTTGATTCTTGTAAAGCCGAAAAATCTGGTCAGTCCTCGTAGTTATTATTGAATTGGATTAGTTAATTATTAGTAGAATTTATCTAAAATTGAAATTTAAAATTAAATCTTGCAGTACTCCCAGCTCAGAATCCTTGCATGCCATCACCTTGCGGACCACACAGCATTTGTCGTATGATGAACGATCGTGCAGTCTGTTCGTGTAGTCCAGGATATCATGGATCACCGCCATCTTGTCGTCCAGAATGTTTAGTCAGCTCAGAATGTCCTGCACATTTGGCGTGCATCGGCCAGAAATGTGGAGATCCTTGCCCTGGCCTTTGTGGGCAAAACGCTTTGTGTCAAGTCGTCAATCATAATCCCATTTGCAGTTGTCCTCCAGAATATCTCGGTGATCCTTTCTCACATTGTGTTAAAGAAGGTAATTTCTTTCTTTTATTTTAATCAAATTTCTTAAATTGTTCTGTGTAACAAAGTGTATTCTTTTTCTCCGTTAGATATACCACTGCCAAGTCCAAAGAATCCTTGTCTGCCATCACCCTGTGGCCCGAACGCCGAGTGTCGCGTGCAGGAAGATCATCCTGTTTGCACGTGTATTAGCGGAATGTTTGGTGCACCACCGAATTGCAGACCCGAGTGTCTGATACATCAAGACTGTCCAAATTATCTCGCTTGTGTTCAGAAAAAGTGCGTGGATCCTTGCGTTGGTTCTTGTGGTTTCAATACGAATTGCACCGTGCATAATCATCGTCCCATGTGCCAATGTTATGAGGGTTACGAGGGGGACCCATTCTCTGGATGTAGTAAAGGTAAAAATCTTTTAATTAATTTTGGTTCTTGCTATTATTAGGAATGTATTAAGGAATTTTAAAATATATATCAATTGATTATTGTTTCTTTTACAGTTACATTCCCTGTACCACTGCCATGCGATCCATCTCCGTGCGGCGCAAACGCAGTTTGCAAAGAACGAAACGGAGCTGGCTCGTGTACCTGTTTACCCGACTACACTGGAGATCCTTATGAAGGATGTAGACCAGAATGTGTTCAAAATTCAGATTGTGTTCACACGAAAGCCTGTATAAATAACAAATGCAAGGATCCATGCGTGGGTGCTTGTGGTATAAATGCTCAGTGCCAAGTGATCAATCATCAACCCTCGTGCAGCTGTCTCTCTGGTTACACTGGAGATCCTCTGAAATCTTGCCACATACCACCTGGTAAGTTGATGTTAATCGATATAAATAAAAGAGTACATTCTAATCCTTAGATTATTTATCCTTATTTTTTCATAAACGTTATTTTAATCAATTGCAGTAACACCACTGCCTGGTGACCCATGCCAACCATCTCCATGTGGTCCGTATAGCAATTGTCGCGTGATCGATAATCATGCAGTTTGTTCCTGTCAACCAAATTACGTTGGTAATCCTCCACAATGTAGACCAGAATGTGTCGTTAGTACAGATTGCACTCAGAACACGGCTTGCATCGATCAAAAATGCAGAGATCCATGCCCAGGGACTTGTGGCCAAAATGCTGACTGTCAGGTCATCAATCACAATCCGGTGTGCAGTTGCACGTCTGGATATACCGGAGATCCCTTCTTTGGATGTGTTAAAGAACGTAAGATTTTTATTTTCGTGTTGTTTATTTTAAATAGTGTATATATTTTTCTAATTATTTTTTCTATTTAAAATATTTTTTAAAGCGGAGGGAAAGCAACCTGGATCGGAACCGAGTGGCAATCCATGCATTCCATCACCGTGTGGACCGAATTCTCAGTGTCGCGTGATCGATGGTTTCCCAGCATGTTCTTGTCTACCGAATTATGTGGGCAGAGCACCGAATTGTCGACCGGAATGTGTCATCAACGAAGCATGTCCTGGAAATCTTGCCTGTCAGAACGAACAGTGCGTGGATCCTTGTCCAGGCTCTTGTGGAGTAAACACTTATTGTAACGTCGTGAAACATAATCCTGTTTGTATTTGCAACACTGGATACACTGGCAATCCATTCACCGAATGCGTGCCTATAATGGAAGGTATGAAACTATTTTAAATGTGTTATATTAACGTTTCATAATTAAGATTTATTTTATAAATTTTCAAATTTTCAAATTTTGCAATTTTTAAATTTTCAGAACCCACTACAACCGAGCAACCTCGTACACCATGCAATCCATCCCCATGTGGAGCGAACGCGATCTGCAACGAGCGAAACGGTGTTGGATCTTGTACTTGCCTTCCAGAATACATCGGCGACCCGTACACAGGATGCAGGCCAGAATGTGTCACGAACACAGACTGCGATCGCAGCAAGGCTTGTTTGAACAACAAATGCGTGAATCCTTGCCCTGGCACTTGTGGACAAGGAGCAACATGTCGAGTGATCAATCATGCTCCTTCCTGTACCTGTTTACCTGGTTTCACTGGAGATCCTTTCAACGCTTGCACTGGAATAGAAGTAACACCAGAACCATTACCGCTCAATCCTTGTGAACCATCGCCTTGTGGACCGAATAGCAACTGTCGCGTGCACAATGGACATGCGGTGTGTCTTTGTCAACCAGGATTCGTCGGTGTTCCTCCTACATGTCGACCAGAATGTATAGTGAGCTCTGAGTGTCCTCAGAACAAGGCTTGCATCGAGAACAAGTGTGCGGATCCTTGTCCAGGTTCCTGTGGATTGAACACGAAATGTCTGACGGTGAATCACAATCCCATTTGCACTTGTACGAATGGATACACTGGTGATCCACTTGTTCAGTGTACTAGGTCCAACGCGACACAGCCACCGTTCAAGGATCTTGGAAATCCATGCTCACCTAATCCTTGCGGACCTAATTCTCAATGCAAAGTGATTGGTTCTCAGCCTGCATGCTCCTGCCTGTTGAACTTTATCGGTCGTCCTCCAAATTGTAGACCAGAATGCGTTGATAACTCGGATTGCTTCCATTCGGCTGCTTGTATAAACCAGAGGTGCAAAAATCCTTGTATTGGAGCTTGTGGGGAAATGGCCAGATGCTCGGTTCAGAATCATGTTCCTATTTGCACTTGTCCTGAGGGATACGAGGGAGATGCTAGTGTTCGTTGTGTCTTGGCACCTCCACCAAGTAAGACTCTGATATTGGATCACTTTTCATATTATAACATAGTTTGTTTAATCTTAAATCTTTACTGTATTGTATTTAGCAACGGACATAAGCGTAGCAAATCCATGTTCTCCGAATCCATGCGGTCCAAATGCTCAATGTCGTGAAAGAAATGGTGCTGGAGCCTGTGCATGTCCACCAGATCTTATTGGAGATCCCTATGATAATGAAAAAGGATGCCACAGAGAGTGCGAATCGAGCAACGATTGTGCACCGCAATTGGCTTGCGTTGGTTTCAAGTGTACCGATCCCTGTCCAAACACTTGTGGCACGTTATCCATCTGTAATGTCCAGCAACACGTTCCAGTATGCACTTGTCCTCCAGAATACACGGGAGATCCATACTTTGCATGCGAAATAAGAGAAACGACAAGTAAGTTCCATTATATATATTTAATATTTATATTTGAATGTAATTTGATCAAAAGATTACTCATTTGATTATTCATTTTTAGGAATTCCATTAGATCCATGCTCACCATCACCCTGTGGACCGAACAGTAAATGTCGCGAGGTGAATGGTCAAGCTGTTTGCACGTGTCTTCCGGAATACAGAGGAATTCCGCCAAATTGTAGACCAGAATGTGTGGTAAACGCTGAATGTCCACCTCACTTGGCTTGTTTGAACAAGAAATGCACTGATCCATGCCCGAATACTTGTGGAGTGAGAGCACTTTGCACCACTAAGAATCACAATCCTATTTGTACCTGTCCTGTTGGATTTACTGGAGATCCATTCTTCCAGTGCTCGCCTAGTGAGAATAATTCTATTTATTTTGAATTATTTTATTAAAAAGATAGAAGAATTTAATATAAAATATTCATTTGACAGTTCCAGATATTCCATCGACTGAACGGCCACCATCTTGCAGTCCATCGCCATGTGGTCCGAATTCTCTCTGTCAAATTATATCCGGAAATCCAGCGTGTTCTTGCTTACCAGATTACATCGGTGTTCCTCCAGAATGTAGACCAGAATGCATTTTGAGCTCTGAATGCAAGAGTCATCTTGCTTGTGTGAATCAGAAATGTAAAGATCCTTGTCCAGGTTCATGCGGTGTCAATGCACAATGTCATGTGGTTAATCATATCCCTGTTTGCACATGTATGGAGGGTTTCACTGGTGATCCATTCGCACAATGCAGAGTGATTCCTCCAAGTAAGATGATACATTTCTTATTCATATTAATTCTATATTAACACGATCAGAAAGAAGAAAAATGTTTATAGATCAATATATCTAAATAAATAAATTAATTCTTCTTTTAGCAACTATGCCAACTGTTAGCGACCCATGTAATCCATCACCATGTGGACCAAACGCAATATGCAAAAATGGTGACTGCGAGTGTCTACCAGAATACATTGGCAATCCATACGAAGCTTGTCGACCAGAATGCATCTTAAATTCAGAATGTCCACGCGATAAGACTTGTCTGAGAAACAAGTGCAAAGATCCTTGTCCTGGAACTTGTGGACAGAACGCAATTTGCGATGTCGTGAATCATATTCCTGTGTGCTCTTGCCTAGCTGGATATATTGGAGATCCATTCGTTAGTTGTCGTGAACAACCACATGGTAAGTATCTTATTTTAGAAAAAAATTTCAATTTCTAAATAATGTATTCTATCTCTATATTATATATAATATATAATATACAATAAAAATACAATATAATACAATAAAAATTTATTTTAGTCCCAGAATCTTCAAAGGATCCATGCTTACCCGTTTCACCGTGCGGACCAAACAGCCAGTGTCGCAATATTGAGAATCATGCAGTATGTTCTTGTCTCCAAGGATATCTTGGATCTCCACCATCCTGCAGACCAGAGTGCGTGGTCAGTTCAGAATGTCCACCCACTCGTGCTTGCGTGAATAACAAGTGCACGGATCCTTGCTTGGGTTCTTGCGGTTTGAACGCCAGGTGTGAAGTGATCAATCACTCGCCAATCTGTAGTTGTCTTTCTGGTCAAACTGGAGATCCGTTCAAGAGCTGCTATGATATTCCACGTGAGAAACTTTGGATGATTTGATTAAATATTCTGCTAATTCTATTTTCAATTTTATTTTTTAATCGTTATTATTTAGAGAATTCTAAATTTCATTATTTGTATTTTTTTACAGTACCACCAGATTCCAAAGACACAGGAGATCCTTGCAATCCTTCACCCTGTGGGCCAAATGCTCAATGTCAAAATGTAAATGGTTATCCATCCTGTTCTTGTCTCCCTACTTACATTGGAACTCCGCCATCTTGTCGCCCAGAGTGTTTGATAAATCCTGACTGTCCTTCAGACAAGGCCTGCATAAACTCAAAGTGCACAGACCCTTGTCCAGGATCCTGTGGAGAAAATGCTAGATGTCTGGTTGTCAATCATGCTGTCACTTGCTCGTGCCAACTTGATTATACAGGAAATCCTTTCGTCCAGTGCATCGAGTTGGAAAGTAAGTTCATATCATCATAAATAAACCATGAATCTTTACATTTTAAAATTCAGGAAAATTTTTACTCGATCTACTCCATATCGTAAATTACAGAAGAACCCATCAATCCATGCGAACCTTCACCTTGCGGTCCAAACGCAATTTGCCAACAACGTGACAACGTAGGTGCATGCATTTGCATCGACGACTACCATGGAAATCCCTACGAAGGTTGCCAACCAGAGTGTATTCTGAGTTCAGACTGTCCAACCAACAAAGCTTGTGTTCGCAACAAGTGCGAAGATCCTTGTCCAGGAGTATGCGGGATCCAAGCTCAATGTTCTGTCATTAATCACATTCCAACATGCACTTGTCAACCTGGCTATGTGGGAGATCCCTTCAACATTTGCAATTTACCGATCAGTCGAGAAACAGAGCCTACTGTCATCGATCTTTGCAATCCATCCCCTTGTGGACCTAACAGTTTGTGCAGAGCAGTAAAGGATCAAGCTGTGTGTACCTGTCAAGAATCTTTTGTCGGTTTGCCACCTAATTGCAAGCCTGAGTGTGTCGTGAACTCGGAGTGTCCTCAGAATAGAGCTTGCTACAAGTACAAGTGTACCGATCCTTGTCCTGGAACTTGTGGAGTGGGTGCTAATTGCCGAGTGATCAATCACAATCCGTTATGCAGTTGTCCACAAGGAACTACAGGAGATCCTTTCTCTAGATGTTATCTTCAACCAGGTAATTACTTTAGATAATTTTTAAAATTATAAAATTAAGTTATAAAATTATTTTTATTTTATGAAAAGAAAAAATATTAAAAATTGTACAATTCTTTTAGTTACACCACCACCACCAGTGGATCCTTGCACCCCAAGTCCGTGCGGTCTTTACGCAGAGTGCAGAGTAATTGGTGATCAGGCTGCTTGCTCTTGCTTGAAGAACTATATAGGTCTTCCACCAAATTGTCGTCCAGAATGTGTCGTTAACACAGATTGCGCTTCAAATCAAGCTTGCATCTCAGAAAAATGTAGAGACCCTTGTATCGGATCTTGTGGAGAAAATGCAAATTGTAGGGTGCAGAATCATATTCCTGTGTGTCTGTGTCAACCAGGATTCACTGGTGATCCTTTCTCATTATGCTCTCCAATAATAGGTGATTACTGAATTCTTTTATTTTTATTTATCTATAAAAAAAAATTGAATCCATATGTGAATTCAAATTTGCTTTATAGAACAACCAAAACCATCCGAAGATCTATGCAATCCATCGCCTTGTGGACCAAACGCAGAGTGCAACGAAGGAATTTGCACGTGTCTTTCAAATTATTTCGGCGATCCATACTCGTACTGTCGTCCAGAATGCACTATGAACTCGGATTGTTCTCGAGTGAAAGCGTGTGTCAATCATTACTGCGTAGATCCATGCGAGGGCACGTGTGGAACCAGTGCAAAATGTGACGTAGTTAATCATATTCCCATGTGCAGCTGCCTTCCTGGTACCAGTGGAGATCCATTCACACTCTGTCGACCACATGTAATCGAAGGTAAATTTTTTTACATTCTTTTATATCGACGAATACTTTTAACAATGATATTAATCGAATATTAATCCATCAGAGCCAAGGATACAACCGTGCACACCGTCTCCTTGCGGTCCAAACAGCATCTGCAGAGTGGTGAACGATCATGCAGTTTGTTCTTGCCAAAGTGGTTTCATCGGTAATCCACCTGCCTGTAGACCAGAATGCGTAGTCAGTGCCGAGTGTCCATTGACACAAGCGTGTCTTGGTAATAAATGTCAAGATCCTTGCCCAGGTACTTGTGGCCAGAACACTAAGTGTCAAGTGGTCAATCACAATCCGATATGCAGTTGTTCAGAAGGACACACTGGCGATCCATTTTCCAGATGCTACCTGATGCCCAGTAAGTTTTCTTATACATTTATTTATTTAAATTATTAGTTTACATCACTCACTTATCACTCACTTTTTTCCACTCCATATGTCACTTTTTCACTTTTCACTTTTTACTTTCTATATTCTATATGATTCTGTAGGAAGAAAATCACAATAAATTCAATTATTTTTTATTAAATTCATTATTTATTACGAATAATCCAATATTTAAATTTTTTTCTTTACTTACGAATGTCGTTTTTTTTGATCACAGAGCAATCACCAGCGCCAACCAATCCATGTCAACCATCGCCATGTGGACCGAACGCGGAATGTCAAGTGCGAGGTGACAGTCCAGCCTGTTCGTGTATAGCGAATTACATCGGTGTTCCGCCTAATTGTAGGCCTGAGTGTACGATAAATCCGGAGTGTCCGCCGCATTTAGCGTGTATGCAAAAGAAGTGTCGTGATCCGTGTATCGGTTTGTGCGGTTCGAATGCTCAGTGTTCGGTAGTGAATCATCATGCGGTGTGCGCTTGCGCGGAAGGTTACACCGGAAATCCGTTCAGCACTTGTGAGCCGGTCGTCAAGGGTGAGTACACATGCAAAGAGAAAGAATTTTTCGTTTCTTTTCTCTCTTTTTTCTTCTCGTTGCGAATATCGCCAGTTGCATGCAGGCGAAAAACAGGTAAGTGCTTCCTCGAATCTTTGTTAACATTATCGTTTCATATCCTAACAAATGTATCCATGTATTTTCTTCGATGAAAAAAAAAAAAAAANAAAAAAAAAAAAAAAAGAAAAAAGAAAGGAGAAGAGGCCCTTAAACAACAAATTCAAAATCGATGACAAAATCAGTCACGATGGTGGCGGGGCCTTGCGAATCATTATCAACATGCACGTTGAAAAAAATGATTGATAATTGCATAATCATCCCTCTGCGATTAACGACCCTATTCAAGAAGAGCACGCCTTCGAAAACCCCACACTTATGAGAGAATAACCACGAATGAAATGTATGTGTTAGGATGGTGGCGGGGCCTATGGAGTATATATAGGCTCTAATTGCACTCACTTTAAATGATACTCGATAACTAATTCATCCCCTCGAATGGAAAGAATTTTGCACGCATTGACCATTCCCGATCCAATTATATAACGCTTTGAAATTGATACCCGAAAGACCGCCCTGGATGACAATTTATTTTTATCGCTTCCTTGAATATTTCTGCGATGGAAAAACATTAAAACCCTATGCGTTTCCTGTATGAAGCACCCTCGTTACCCTGGACACGGAAAATATTAATCCCTAAAAAACGATAGCGAGCTTGCATCCCTGACTAAGTGATTGAGACCCCGGAGACACGCTTATTAAGAAGTACATATAAAAAAATTAATTAATTAATAAGATTAATACCCTTTAATAAAACCCAAACGCTAATAAATGTTTAGAAGACAATAGCCCACAGAAACACGCACCAAATCACGACCCAAAAAACACCCAATAACACCCAACGCTAAAGCGAAAATATCAATTTCAATCGAAACGATCGAGAACGTTGAAATCTTGCTGCTGAAACAATTATCTATTCGCAAGCGTTCGAATGCTTGCTGTTTATTCAAGCTTCCGCTTATCCTCGATCATTCATTCGTAAAAAATGATTAGATTCGACGAATATTCATACCATTGCACAAGCTTTGACCAACCATCATTGCATGACCTGATTAAATATAAGTGAAAGTGTTTCTCTTTCCGATCAGATATACCTCTAGATATTAGGAAACCATGCGAGCCTTCCCCATGTGGTACTAACGCGATCTGTCGCGAGAACAATGGCGTCGGTTCCTGTTCCTGTCTTCAAGACTACATTGGTGACCCATACGAAGGATGCAGACCCGAATGTACGCAAAATTCCGATTGCTCCAAGACGATGGCCTGCATGGGCCTCAAGTGCAGAGATCCCTGCCCAGGAACCTGTGGATTGCAAGCCCGTTGCGAAACGATCAATCACGTTCCAGCGTGTTCTTGCAACCCTGGATACACGGGCAATCCGTTCAACTATTGTACCCCGGTTTCTGTGCCCCGTAAGATTTCATTTTGCCTCATGTTTTGCAACCGATGTCATCGGTTAGATTATTGGTAGAAGATTGATAAATCTTTTTTAGAATTATCGCACAAATGGCTTAACGAGCACCATGCTTAATACAGTAGTAATGTGTAATACAGATTCGAAAATTGGAGATGCGATGGTTTTGTGAAAATTAATTCTTTTTGTTAAATATTTTACATAATCAAATCGAGGATATATCTTTAAATATAATCATGGCTTAAGATACAAAGTTTCTATAATCATAATATTAGCAAGAATTTTTGAAAAATTTTACCTGACAAATCTCTTTTATTTTTTTTAATCATAGCTTGATAAATTCTTCATTATTTTTTTCATGTAAAATAGATAACATGCTTTATAATTTCCATAATATTTCTCAAAAGTTGTTTTACAATAAACTAATTATTTTTTTTATAGATTTTAGTTTTAAAAGATTAGAATAGAAAATAAACGTAGAGTTTTCAACAAGAAGAATTAATTTTTACATAAATACACACATCCGCAATCTCGTATTACAGACCATAGACACAATTTTACGCATATTTAGGCTGTTTAATCTGACTTTCCCCCGAACAGCTACCACAAAAGAGTCAGACCCTTGTAACCCATCCCCATGCGGACCAAATAGTCAATGTCGAACCGTGAACGAGCACGCTGTGTGTACCTGCTTGGCAAATTTCATTGGAACCCCGCCAAACTGTCGACCTGAGTGCGTGGTGAATAGCGAATGCTCAAGAGAACTTGCGTGCATTGATAAAAGATGCAGGTCCCCTTGTGTGAATTCGTGCGGTATCAACACACAATGCAAGGTGATCAACCACAGTCCTATATGCATCTGCAATATTGGATATACCGGTGACCCGTTCGTCAAATGTTTCCCCGCTCCACGTAAGAATATTTCTGTTGATATTCGCTTGATCATCGACCATCTTCAATCCTTTAGTTGCAAGTTTTAATTCAGTTGAATTCAAACGAATCCATATGAATCGCCTTAAATTAGATGTTAAACATTCATTGCTTCAATTATGAACACATTGGCATGTCGTTTCATCAAGATTCATAATTCCAAAATATTCCCTATAGTTAATAATTTTAAGATAGTTTCAATCATGAAAAATTGATTCACTTCTCATCTTGCATATTCAAGCTTTATAGAGTATTATTCAGCTTAATTCATATGATTATTTTCATATAATTCATATAATTCAGCTTAATTATATTCAATAAATTCATATGAATTGCTTCAATCACAGTTCATCATTTAGAATCGCCTAAGATTGACTACCTTCTAGCAAATCCATATAAATTGTTTCATATCGCCTCATCACGCAATAATGTTACAAATAATTTTAGAATCGCCCAAGAATGACTTTGACTTGGCTCCCAAAGATCCGTGCATGCCATCTCCGTGTGGCATGTACGCGGAATGCAGAAATATTGGTGGCACACCTTCTTGTTCCTGTTTACCAAGATACATTGGATCTCCACCGATCTGTCGACCAGAATGTCGTGTCAACTCCGACTGTCCCATGAATCTTGTTTGCACGAACGAGAAATGCAGAGATCCTTGTCAAGGATCTTGTAGCGTTACATCCTTATGCACGGTTTACAATCACGTGCCAGTATGCACTTGTCCCGAACAATACACTGGTGATCCTTTCAGCAATTGTTATCCTGCTCCTAGACCAAGTAAGAAATTTAAAAAAGTTGAAAACGTGTAAGAGATTTGCGAAGAATCATACATTTATTCGTTTCACAGCTGAACCAACTATCGTTGACCCTTGTGCATCATCACCTTGTGGTCCAAATGCCCAGTGCAACGATGGTGTTTGTACATGTTTGGCAGAATATCAGGGTGATCCTTATGTAGGTTGTCGACCAGAATGTGTATTGAACACAGATTGCCCCCAGAATCGAGCTTGCGTGAGAAACAAGTGTGTCAATCCTTGCCCTGGTATCTGTGGTCGAAATGCAGAGTGTTTGGTGTATAATCATATACCTATGTGCACTTGTCCTAGTGGTATGATTGGAAATGCATTCGTTCAATGCATTGTTCTTCAAGGTATATATTTTTCACATAAAAAATACAAAACTAAAAATTTTCTTATCTATATTCATTCAAAAAATAGAGGAATTCATGTCATTGAAAACGATGATATCTTCTGCTTCTAATGACTTTTTTTCATTGACTAAAGATCATTATTTTCAAAGTTATAGCAGTTCAAAGTTTTCCTAATTTTATATAATTTTTAATCGAATTTTATAAATTAGCTGATTTTTATTTCTATATATGTTTAAAATGCTTATACATTCCTCTGAATGTCTATCATATTGTGACAGATACCATACCAAGGAACCCTTGTTCACCTTCACCCTGCGGACCAAACAGTGTTTGTCGAGTGATCAATCAACAACCAGTTTGTTCCTGCGTAGCAGGATACCTCGGTGCACCACCTGCCTGTCGACCTGAGTGCACAGTCAGCTCTGATTGTCCTTTATCAGAAGCTTGTAGTAATCAGAAATGTGTAAATCCTTGTCCTGGTTCTTGCGGATTCAATACAATCTGCAACGTCGTCAATCATAATCCCATATGCAGTTGTTTGCCCGGATTTACAGGGGATCCTTTCGTGCGATGTATTCTACAACGTAAGATCTGTTTCTTTAGCTTTCAACAAAATTTTTCTTCAAGCAAAAATATAATTCATAATATATTTTTAGCACCAGAGCCTACAATACCACAAAATCCATGCGAACCCTCTCCATGCGGGCCCAATTCTCAATGTAGAGTTGTCAACAATTCACCCTCTTGTTCCTGTTCACCAGAATTTGTAGGCGTTCCTCCTAATTGTAAACCAGAATGTATTAGTAATAGCGAATGTCCCAGTGATTTGGCCTGCATGAATCAGAAATGCAAAGATCCTTGTCTTGGATCTTGTGGAGTTAATGCTGAGTGTCGTGTTGTCAGTCATACACCTATGTGTGTTTGTCCCAATGACTATACTGGCGATCCTTTCACACAATGTATACTTAGACCATGTAAGATTCAAAATATTTTTTCGTTTTTTTTTTCAATCTTTCTATTTTATTCATCAAAGATTTTCGTTTCTCTTTGTTGTTCAAACTTTGATTTAAAAAGTAATATTGAGCAATTAAAATCTTTGATTATAATTACAAGATAATTTAATAATTTTTTTCCTTCAATACTTTTATTATTTGTTTTGCAACTTTCTAGCTATCCCTGAAAATCTTTCTCCATGTACTCCATCTCCATGCGGGTTCAATGCGATATGCAAAGAACAAAATGGTGTAGGCTCGTGCTCCTGTTTGCCCGATTATATTGGTAATCCCTATGAAGGCTGTCGACCTGAATGTGTCGTTGATACAGATTGTCCATCCATATTGAGTTGCATTTGCTCCAAATGTCAAGATCCTTGTCTAGGCACTTGTGGCACGAACACAGAATGTAAAGTTATTAATCATCGTCCTGCATGTACGTGCATTCAAGGTTACAGTGGAAATCCTTTCCATTATTGCATCTTGACTCGTGAAATAGGTACGAACTTTCAAAGATATTAATAAATATAATGAAATTTTTTTTGCATTTGAAATAAATTTTGATCAATTGAATTAAAAAGTTAATTTTTCATGATATATTGTTTACAAAGAGTTTAAAGACTAAAATTTCAAAGATTTTAACTTATTAATAAAAATTGCTCCCATAGAAGATGAAACAAAATTGAAAGATCCGTGCAATCCATCACCCTGTGGACCAAATAGTGAATGTCGCGTGGTAAATGGCCAAGGTGTCTGCTCTTGTTTGCCACAATACATAGGCACACCTCCCATGTGTCGTCCAGAATGTGTTCTGAACTCAGAATGTCCTCAAGATCGTGCATGTGTCAATCAGAAATGCGTAAACCCTTGTCCTGCTTCTTGTGGCACATTCGCCACCTGTGTGATCAGGAATCACAGTCCAATTTGTGCCTGCAGACAATCATATACAGGAGATCCATTCACCATGTGTTTCCCTATTCCACGTAAGATATTTCGTCATATCTAAATTTTACGATTATCAATCGATTCAATTCTGAATCAAACAAATTCCTGATTTTGCCTTTCAGAAGCCTTACCACCTGTATCAGTCGAAGTTACACAACCATGTCTGCCTTCTCCTTGCGGTCCAAATTCTGAATGTCGTGTAGTTAATAGTGGTCCATCCTGTCAATGTCTACCTACTTACATTGGAAGTCCTCCAAACTGCAGACCAGAGTGTATCATCAACTCTGATTGTCCTAGTAATAGAGCTTGTATCAGACAGAAGTGCACAGATCCTTGTCTAGGATCTTGTGGAATTGGCACTCAATGTAGCGTGATTAATCATGTACCTATGTGTACTTGTCTTCAAGAATATACTGGAGATCCCTTCACAAATTGCTATCCAATGCCACCACAATGTAAGACTTTTTTTTTTATTCAGAAATCGATTAGTTGATGATTTCTATATTTAAACAATTCTTGCAGTGCCACCCCCTGAATCAGATCCCTGCAATCCATCACCTTGTGGACCAAATGCTCAATGCAATGCAGGAATATGCACATGTTTATCAAATTATCAAGGTGATCCGTACACTAGCTGTCGTCCTGAATGTGTTCTCAATAATGACTGTCCTTTGAATAGAGCTTGTGTTCGAAACAAGTGTGTGGACCCGTGTCCAGGCACTTGTGGTAGGAACGCAATTTGCAATGTCCTGAATCATATACCCATATGTTCTTGTCCAGCAGGAATGGCTGGCAATGCTTTCATTTCCTGTGAAAAAATCGAAGGTATGATTAATAAAAAAAATTATTTTTACAGAAAAATTTGAGAATAAAAAAAATCACATTGTTTCTGATTTAGAACAAGTACAGGTAAATCCCTGTAATCCATCTCCTTGTGGACCTAACAGTCAGTGCAGAGCTGTAAATGGTCAGGCAGTGTGTTCCTGTGTGCCAGGATTTCTTGGCAATCCACCTAATTGCAGACCAGAATGTGTGGTTAGTTCAGATTGTCCTAGGAATCAAGCTTGCAATAACCAGAAGTGCATCGATCCTTGCTCTGGTACTTGTGGCTGGAAAGCATTGTGCCAGGTTGTCAATCACAATCCTGTGTGCAGTTGTCCTTCCGGTTTCACTGGAGATCCTTTCTTTAGATGTGAATTTATCAGTAAGAATCATTATTTTTCCTTTTGTTTTCGAAAAAATCAGTAACAAATTCCTAATATATATTGCAATTATTTATTTCAATAGCTGTGAGACCACCACAGGAAGACACGTGCGCTTCTTGTCAATGTGGTCCCAATTCCATATTCCAAACGATAAACGACAAACCGTCTTGTGCCTGTTTGCCCGATTTTATCGGTTCCCCGCCAAATTGTAGACCAGAATGTGTGAGCAATAGCGAATGCTCGAGTAATTTGGCTTGCATCAATCGGAAGTGTAGAGATCCTTGTCCAGGCTCGTGTGGTTCCAACACGGAGTGTCGAGTAGTCAGTCATACACCGATGTGCACCTGTTTAACTGGTTTCACAGGCGATCCCTTTGCGCAGTGCATACCGAAACGACGTAAGATTTATCATATATTATAAAATCTTAAAAATCCACGGTCAAAGCTTTTAAAACAGGCAGCCTATTTTCAATAAAGAAAAACAAAATAAATTAAACACAATATAGAAACACAAACAATAGAACAACAAAATACTCTTGAACATGAAACTTTACAATCTCTAATGTTCTCCAATTGTTAACCTTACCTGAATTTAGTATGTATGGTAGTTACTACAATTAACACCTGGGTAGCTACAAAATTGATGGTATAACTGCATTAATACCCGAATCAAATGTTCTGTGACCCATTTTATAGCCGAGACCGAGCTCACGCCACAATCCCCATGCATCCCATCGCCCTGTGGCCCGAACGCCATATGCAAAGAACAAAATGGAGCCGGTTCGTGCACCTGTGCTCCAGATTATATAGGCAACCCGTATGAAGGATGTCGACCCGAATGTACAGTGAATTCTGACTGTCCTTCAAACTTGGCCTGTATTAGATCTAAATGTCAGAACCCTTGTCCCGGTACCTGTGGGTCAAATGCTGATTGCACGGTGATCAATCACCTGCCCAGCTGCACTTGTTTGCCTGGATTCACGGGAGATCCTTTTGTGAACTGTTACATTCAACCGGCAGTTCTCCGTAAGTTTGAATTAAAGTCAATTTGATTATCCATCATCGTCATTGATCACAAGCGATTAGAGAGATTTAACGAAGATTTAACGTTAGAAACGCTTCCTCATCATTTCCATCTTAATACGCCAAATGGCGAATGCGAATGATTAATCCACTAATCTCAAAGTATAATTTAGGATTTAATATTTTGAAGAAAAATTCATAAAAATATAACATAAAAAAGGAATAATCAATTTTGATTATACGTCACTTGCAGCTGATCTACAAGAAAATCCTTGTAATCCCTCGCCCTGTGGACCCAATAGTTTATGCCGGGTGAATAATGGGCAAGCTGTGTGCTCTTGCCTATCTGACTACGTAGGCACTCCCCCTGGATGTCGACCGGAATGCGTAGTTAGCTCAGAATGTCCTTTGAACAAAGCTTGTGTCAATCAGAAATGTACAGACCCTTGTCCTAATCGCTGTGGTACTAACGCGGATTGCAGAATCGTGAACCACAGCCCTATCTGCGCTTGCAAACTGGATTTCACTGGAGATCCCTTCACCAGATGTTTCCCCACGCCAAGTAAGACAAATTTTCGTGATCAAGGGATCGTTAGAGAGACTAATTTTATTATTAACGTATGAATCGATAAATAGAGTGATTCAGATAACTAAAATTGTTTATCCTCATTAAATGAAAATGAAAGCAATATTAATTTTTGTTTTCATTTAAAGAAGAAATAGTTTCAGAATTCAGAATCATTTTATCTGCTTAACTTATCTGATTAACTTCATACCATATCTTAAATGAAAGACATATAACCAGATTAAAACTATCCCAAAATTAATTGCTCAAGTAGAAAATTTTCTAATACCTAACAGGGGATGAGAAAGTGATTACTAAACCAAAAAAAAAAAAAAAAAAAACATAAGAAAAATTCTTTTCAGAACCATCACCAACCTTAATTGAAAACCCTTGTGTACCATCCCCTTGTGGCCCAAATTCGGAGTGCCGTGATATCGGAGGTTCTCCTTCTTGTTCCTGTTTACCAAATTATATGGGCAGTCCACCGAATTGTAGACCAGAGTGCACCATAAACCCCGATTGTCCTAGCAATCGAGCATGCATGAACGAAAAATGCAGTGACCCGTGTCCTGGCTCTTGCGGATTCGGCGCAATTTGCAACGTAATTCATCATACCCCTGCGTGCTCTTGCCCCGAAGATTTCACTGGTGACCCATTTAACAGCTGTCAACCATTACCACCTGAACGTAAGATTTTTCTTTCACAATTCAGAGAACGTATTTTCATATATTTTTTTTTATTTATTTTCATATCTTAATTTATCTGGAAATTGAGTTAATTTTTTCGAATTAATTAGACAGATTATTGCAATGATTTTACAGCGGTGAAGGATGTCCCGTCAGATCTTTGTAATCCCTCACCTTGTGGCCCGAACGCAGAGTGCAATAATGGTGTCTGCACTTGCCTTCCCGAGTATCGTGGAAACCCGTACGAACTCTGTCGCCCTGAATGCGTTCTAAATAACGATTGTCCTCAGAATAGAGCTTGTGTTCGCAACAAATGTATCGATCCTTGTGTAGGCACTTGTGGACAAAACGCGATTTGCAATGTATACAACCATGTTCCTATGTGCAGTTGTCCTAGTGGAATGTCTGGAAACGCTTTCGTGCTGTGTATCGTTTCGAAAGGTGCATATCCCAGTAATTCTATTTTAATTAATTTCATCTTAATCCTTTTTTCGATTTGTATAATTCGATGCTTCTTCTTAGAACCACTTGGAGCAGTAGATCTTTGTAGACCATCTCCTTGCGGACCCAATAGTCAATGTCGTATTGTGAACCAACAAGCGGTCTGTTCTTGCGTTCAGGGATATCTAGGAGCTCCACCATCTTGCAGACCAGAGTGCGTGGTCAGTTCAGATTGTCCACGAAATCTGGCTTGTAATAATCAGAAATGTATCGATCCTTGTACTGGTACTTGTGGTTTGAGAACTCAATGTCAGGTGGTGAATCATAATCCCATTTGTAGCTGTCTTCCGAGATACTCTGGAGATCCTTTTACCAGATGTGATCCTATAAGTAAGGGATATTCACGATGAATTAATCTTTTTGTTGAATATTGATCTATCCTTGAATTGAAAATTTTATTTATTAGTTGAAACACCTTCTGAGCCTGTCAATCCTTGTCAACCATCTCCCTGTGGACCAAACGCTCAATGTCGTGTGGTGAACGACTCACCTTCTTGCACGTGTTTGCCAGAATTTATTGGATCACCACCGAATTGTAGGCCTGAATGTGTTAGCAACAGCGAATGTGCTTCCCACCTTGCTTGCATGAAACAAAAATGTCGAGATCCATGTCCTGGTGCTTGTGGATCGAACACAGAGTGTCGTGTTGTTAGCCACACTCCTATGTGTGTCTGCTTGAATGGATATACCGGAGATCCTTTCACTCAGTGTGTGATTCAAGAACGTAAGCATTTATTATTATTATATACGATTAGAAATATTATTTAAATTATTAAAATCAATGTGAATGCAACGCATATTATACCTTATCGTAGCCATTCTTATCGAAAACGAGTCACCTTGTACACCGTCACCCTGTGGAGCAAACGCGATATGCAAAGAGCAATCCGGAGCAGGTTCTTGCACATGTTTATCGGACTATATCGGAAATCCTTATGAAGGATGTCGTCCAGAGTGTACCGTCAACTCTGACTGTGTCTCTAATATGGCTTGTGTACGTTCTAAATGTCAAGATCCTTGTCCAGGAACTTGTGGTCAAAATGCAATTTGTCAAGTGATCAATCATTCACCAGCATGTACTTGTACATCTGGATTCACTGGTGATCCTTTCAGATATTGCAATCCCATTGTTCAAACGGGTAATTATAAATTTTCAAATCATAATTCAGATATAAACACTCAAATTTAAAAAAAAAAATTAAATCTTGTCTTCGAATTTTTTGAAATTAGAATTAATTCTAAGAGAGCCTTGCAATCCATCCCCCTGTGGACCAAACAGTCAATGTCGCGCCGTGAACAATCAGCCTGTCTGTACTTGTCTACCAGAATATATTGGAAGTCCTCCAGGATGTCGGCCAGAATGCGTAACGAGTTCAGAATGTCCATTAAATAGAGCTTGCGTGAACAACAAATGTGTAAATCCTTGCCCTCAGCCTTGCGGGTCGAATACTAATTGTATAGTGCTCAATCACAGTCCCATATGCAGTTGCAAGCAAGGATTCACTGGAGATCCTTTCAGTAGATGTTTCCCTGTGCCACGTAAGACGAATGAATAACTCTATTTTTATTTTTTTATACGCGTGACAATTCGTGTTTTAGCTTTTATTATGAAATTCTTTTAGAACTTGCACCTGGTCCGGTCGTTCAGAATCCCTGCGTACCTTCACCCTGTGGACCATACGCAGAATGCCGCGATATCGGTGGTGTGCCATCTTGTTCTTGTCTTAAATCCTATATCGGTAGTCCACCAAATTGTAGACCCGAATGTACTATCAATTCCGACTGTGCTAGTAATCAGGCTTGCATAAACGAGAGATGTAGAGATCCTTGTCCAGGTTCCTGTGGATTATCAGCCATCTGTAACGTGATTAATCATACACCAGCTTGCACATGTCCAGAAGGATTCACGGGAGATCCTTTCAATAATTGTTACCTCAAACGTAAGAAATTGTCAGAAAAATTTAATTGATTTTTCAATTTTCTTTTTCATATTTATAATCAAGATTATACAATATCTTTTCTTTTTTTTTTTTTTTGATATTATTAAATTTAGCAATGGAAGAACCACCAAGACCTGCAGATCCTTGTAATCCCTCCCCTTGCGGTCCAAACGCGGTATGCACAGATGGTAGCTGCACTTGTCTCTCAGATTATCAAGGAGATCCTTACATAGGTTGTCGACCAGAATGCGTCCTCAACAACGATTGTGCTTTATCTCGAGCTTGCATTCGCAATAAATGCGTAGATCCATGCCCTGGAACTTGTGGTGAAAATGCACAGTGCAATGTATACAATCATATTCCTATGTGCAGCTGCTTGCCTGGAATGACAGGAAACGCTTTTCTTTCTTGTCGTCCAAGCAGAGGTATATATCGATTCGTTGATTGTATTATATATATAGAATTCAAGAATTATTTTTTTTTCAATATCATCAATTTTAGGTCCCGAAGATCCCTGTAATCCTTCACCCTGTGGATCCAATAGTGTTTGTCGCGTGATAAACGAGCAAGCAGTATGTTCTTGCGTGCCCAGTTTTATAGGAACACCTCCTTCCTGTAGACCAGAGTGCACCGTGAGTTCAGATTGTCCAAAGAATCAGGCGTGCAGCAATCAAAAATGCATAAATCCTTGCGCTGGTTCATGCGGTGTCATGGCTAAGTGTCAAGTGATTAATCATAATCCAATTTGCAATTGTCCAGCCGGCTTCACAGGCGATCCTTTTGTAAGATGCGAGCCTAAAAGTGAGCATAATTTATTTGATCATCGATAATTTAACACATTCAATATTGAATGCATATAATTGAAAAACTAGTAAATAGAATACATGCACATTCTTTTGCACTTTTTATATTTCTTCAAATAAAAATCCATTATGTGAATGCCATATCCACCCAATAGGAAAATATTCATGATATTAATCACATTGTGTTAATTTTAATCGTATATAGATTCTCATAATGAAAAGTTCGTCTTCGTTTCAGTTGAAAGGCCAGAATTACCTATTAATCCATGTCAACCATCACCATGCGGACCCAATGCGGTCTGTCAAACGATAAACGATTCACCTTCCTGCTCTTGCATGCCCGAATTTGTCGGATCACCACCTAATTGTAGACCTGAATGTATTAGTAACAGTGAATGCGCTAGCAACTTAGCGTGTATGAGCAACAAATGTAAAGATCCTTGTCCTGGGTCCTGTGGATCTAATACAGAGTGTCGCGTTGTGAGCCACACTGCCATGTGCGTATGTTTGATCGGTTACGAGGGCGATCCATTCATTCAGTGTACTTTGAAACAGAGTAAGACATTCTATAGATATTTTGAAGACAAATTGATTTTAATTTTGAATAGCGATATTTATTTCTTTCGAATTTTAGCTGACATACAACCGACTGTTTCTACTCCATGCACTCCATCACCCTGTGGTTCAAATGCTGTTTGCAAGGAACAAGGTGGAGTTGGTTCATGTTCTTGTTTACCCGACTATATAGGCAATCCTTATGAAGGTTGTCGTCCAGAGTGTATCATAAATTCTGATTGCGTATCTACTCGAGCTTGCATTCATTCTAAGTGTCAGGATCCTTGTCCTGGTGCCTGTGGCACGAATGCCGAATGCCAGGTTGTCAATCATTTACCACAGTGCAATTGTTTCCCCGGTTACACTGGTCAGCCTTACCAGTTCTGTCAATTGATTACAACACAACTTGGTAAACAGATTCTTCGTTTAATTTTCTTTTGATTTATTTTTTTAATTTAATTCAAAAAATTCTCACAAGTCCTATTCTTTTGATAATAGAAGATAGGAAAGATCCATGTTCTCCATCGCCCTGTGGACCGAATAGTAGATGCCAAGTAATTAATGATCAGGCAGTTTGTTCTTGTCTACCAGAATTTATTGGTTCACCTCCTGGATGTCGACCAGAATGCGTAGTCAGTGCAGAGTGCTCATCGAATTTAGCCTGTATTAATCAGAAATGCATAAACCCTTGTCCTGGACCATGCGGTATCAATGCAGAATGCAATGTTATTCACCACAGTCCTATTTGTGCCTGTAGACAAAGATATACTGGTGACCCATTCAGTCGTTGTTTCCCTATGCCAGGTGAGAAAAATTTCTTTAAATATCTTAACTTCTAATCTTATTATTCATTTAAACAAAAAATTTTAATTTCTTTGAGATATTTTGTCTATTATTTTTAGAATCTCCACCAATTCCGGTACCATTTAATCCATGCATTCCATCACCTTGTGGTCCAAACGCAGAATGTCGCGATAGCAATGGTATATCTTCCTGTTCCTGTTTATCAAACTATATAGGAAGTCCTCCAAATTGTCGTCCAGAATGTACAGTGAACTCTGACTGTTCTCTTAATCAAGCCTGTATGAGAGAGAAATGCAAAGATCCTTGTCCTGGTTCTTGTGGTACTTTTGCTCAGTGTACCGTGATGAATCATGTACCAATTTGTAGTTGCATTGAAGGTTATACTGGAGATCCATTTACAAACTGTTATCCTAGACCATTATCACGTGAGACATTAATCTTTCATATCCAATTTTATAAAATATTTCATATCAGTTATTTTATATTTCTAACTTTTAGAACCAACAGTTTCTGAAGATCCTTGCAATCCATCACCCTGTGGACCAAATACAGAGTGTAACAATGGTATTTGTACTTGTTTAGCCGAATATAAAGGAGATCCTTATAGAGGATGTAGACCCGAGTGTGTTCTCAATACCGATTGTCCCACGAATCAAGCTTGTGTTCGTAATAAATGCACTGATCCTTGTGCCAATACTTGTGGACAGAGTGCCATATGCAATGTTTTCAACCATATTCCCATGTGCAGTTGTCCTTCAGGAATGAGTGGCAATGCTTTCATACTTTGTTCCCCGATTCAAGGTAGATAAAATCGAGTAAAAATTAAAGTTCTATCAAAACAATATTTATTACCAATATTCTTTAGATGTAGTTCCAGCAATGCCCTGTAATCCATCCCCATGTGGTCAAAATAGTCAATGTCGTTCAATAAATGGCCAAGCAGTCTGCTCCTGCATATCTGGTTACATAGGAAGTCCTCCATCTTGTAGACCAGAGTGTGTAGTTAGCTCAGATTGCTCCAGAAATGAAGCATGTAGTAATCTAAAATGTGTAAATCCATGTGTGGGAACTTGTGGTATCCAGGCACAGTGTCAAGTCATTAATCATAATCCCATATGCAGTTGTCCTGTAGGATTTTCCGGAGATCCATTCCTTAGATGCAATCCTATCAGTAAGGATTTTTTTTTTTAATTTTTAAATAGAATCATTTCACATATTCATCAATCTAAATGAATTATAAAATTTTAGTGGAAACCAAACCAGAAATTATAAATGTATGCAAGCCATCACCATGTGGTCCTAACGCCCTGTGCCAAATAATAAATGATTCGCCATCTTGCACTTGTTTACCAGGATTTATTAACTCTCCACCAAATTGTCGTCCGGAATGTGTCAGTAATAGCGAATGTTTGACTCATCACGCTTGTATAAATCACAAATGCAAAGATCCGTGTCCTGGTTCTTGTGGAGAAAACGCAGACTGTCGTGTAGTCAGTCATACACCCATGTGCGTTTGTTCCATTGGATATACGGGTGATCCGTTCACGCAATGCGTTCCATTCCAAGAATGTAAGAGATCTAAACGTTTGTTTAATTTTGATTTGTAGATTGATTTGCTTTACATCTATTTTATTTTATCATATAGCGATACCAACCTCCCCTTGCACGCCATCGCCCTGCGGTTCGAATGCCATTTGCAAAGAACAAAATGGAGTGGGATCTTGCGCCTGTTTGCCTGAATATATTGGCAATCCATACGAAGGATGTCGACCAGAGTGCACTGTTAGTTCAGACTGTCCCTCGAATCTCGCTTGTATAAGAAACAAGTGTCAAAATCCTTGTCCTGGAACATGTGGACAGGATGCCATTTGTCAAGTAATTAATCATTCACCAACTTGCACCTGTGTACCTGGTTTCACGGGTGATCCGTTTAGATATTGCCAACTTATGAGAGAACCTGGTAAAGTATATATAATACAAGTGAAGAAAATATTATATATTTTGATCCTTAGAAAGCAAGCAGGGTCCACTATTCCGCCATGAAATTTTCTCAAATTCTATACTAAGATTAATATTAAATACTTTCCAACGTTAAAATAATTTAATTTAAGAAAATGTTTATCAAAATTATTAAATTTATGGAAGATCTAAGTTACCCAGCCTGAAACACTAAGGGTTAAAATGAGATAAAATTATTATACAATCGTAATATTTCAATTTAAATCATTCATATTTCCCAGAAAAATCCGAAGATGAGACAAACCCGTGTATTCCATCGCCCTGCGGGCCAAATAGTCAATGCCGCGTGATTTCCGGTAACGCGGTATGTTCTTGCCTACCAGAATACACCGGAAGTCCTCCCTCGTGCCGTCCAGAATGTGTCGTGAGCTCAGATTGTCCCTCGAATAGAGCCTGCGTGAATCAAAAGTGTGTGAATCCTTGTCCACGACCTTGTGGACAAAATACTAACTGTCTAGTCGTGAATCACAGTCCAATTTGTACCTGCAAAGAAGGAAACACTGGAAATCCATTCACCAGATGTTTTTCTCTTCCAAGTGAGTCTCTCTTTCACTTTTCCGATATTTTTTTTACTCCAGAAAATAGTTATTCGTTTAACAAGTATTAATTCCATCTATAGCTCAACCAACGTTACCTGATCTACCTCAGAATCCCTGTGTACCATCTCCCTGCGGACCATATTCTGAATGTCGAGATATCGGTGGCGCCCCTTCTTGTTCCTGTTTAGCTAATTATTTTGGCAGTCCACCGAATTGTAGGCCAGAATGTACCGTAAACTCAGATTGTCCAAGTGATAGAGCGTGCATCAGACAGAAATGCACCAATCCTTGTCCTGGATCTTGCGGTTTATCCTCACAATGCACGGTTTTCAATCATATTCCGGTTTGTACGTGTCTGGAGGGATTCACTGGTGATCCTTTCAGCAATTGTTCTCCTGCTCCACGTAAGAATTATTTTAATAAACGTCATGATGAAAATATTCTTTTGATTAGATAATTAATTAAATTTTAATAATAATTGTTAGCCGTTGAAACGGTTTCTGAAGATCCATGCAATCCATCACCTTGTGGTCCAAATGCGCAGTGCAATAATGGTATCTGTACCTGTTTGGCAGAATATCAGGGCGATCCTTATTTAGGTTGTCGACCAGAATGTGTTCTTAACACAGATTGTCCTTTGACTCAAACTTGTCTACGTAACAAATGTGTTGATCCTTGTATCGGTACTTGTGGTCAAAATGCAGTTTGCAACGTGTACAATCACGTGCCAATGTGCAGTTGTCCTGCTGGAATGACAGGCAATGCATTTGTTTTTTGTAATCCATTCAGAGGTAATAATCGTAAGAAAATTAAAATCATAAAAGATCTACAAAGGGATTAATCGATTCTTCTTTTCTATAATCAGATCCTCTTGTGACTAATCCATGTAATCCATCACCTTGTGGACCGAATAGTCAATGTAGAGAAGTGAACGAGCAAGCTGTGTGCACTTGCATCCCTGGTTTCGTTGGTATTCCACCGACTTGTAGACCAGAATGTGTAGTGAGCACAGATTGTGGACCTACAGAAGCTTGCATAAATCAGAAATGCAATAATCCGTGTATTGGATCGTGTGGAATCAGGGCAATTTGTCAAGTAGTCAATCACAATCCGATTTGCAGTTGCCCTGTTACAATGACTGGTGATCCATTTGTCAAGTGTATTGAGAAACGTGAGAATATTTAAAAAATTGATTATTTACAATTAAATATCAATCAATGTCTTGAAAAACATATTAGAATTGAATTTTATTTTAGCATTGGAAGTACCACCGCAACAGAACCCTTGTGAACCATCTCCTTGTGGTCCAAATGCGCAATGTCAAGTTATCAATAATTCCCCATCGTGTTCTTGTTTGCCAGAATTCACTGGTTCACCACCCAATTGTAGACCAGAATGCATAAGCAATAGCGAATGTCCAAGTAACTTAGCATGTATCAATCAGAAATGTAGGGATCCTTGTCCAGGTTCCTGTGGTGAAAATGCTATATGTAATACAGTATCTCACACACCAATGTGTACATGTTCCTCAGGATACACTGGAGATCCATTCACTCAGTGTATCTTGCAACAACGTAAGAATTTCATTCTCTTTTTCCATAACTCTTTTTCAAAACGATATTTAAGTTAATAAATTAATTATAAAACTTTTTAGTTATCCCAATGTATATTCCTCAACCCTGTGTACCATCTCCTTGTGGAGCAAACGCGATCTGCAAGGAACGAAACGGAGCAGGATCATGCTCTTGCTTGCCAAACTACATAGGTAACCCCTATGAAGGTTGTCGGCCGGAATGTGTGTTAAATTCAGACTGTATACCAAGCAAGAGCTGTGTTCAATTTAAATGCGAGGATCCTTGTCCCGGTACATGTGGTCAGAATGCAGTTTGTCAAGTGATCAATCATGTGGCTACTTGCAATTGCTTGCCTAGATTTACTGGAGATCCTTTCAGATTCTGTAGAGAAGAAGAGATAGGTATGTGAAGGAAAAATATCTCTTACAGACAAAGATTTTATGAAAACTTTTTATCCAAAACAGTCACTTTACCGAGCGTGAAAAATCCTTGTCAACCATCACCTTGTGGAGCAAACAGCGTCTGTAAAGAGAACAATGGACAAGCAGTGTGCTCGTGCTTGCCTGAATTCCGTGGTTCTCCACCAGGATGTAGGCCAGAATGCGTGGCCAGCGCAGAATGTCCTTTTGATCGAGTTTGCATGAATCAGAAGTGCATCGATCCTTGTCCTGATCCTTGTGGAAGAAACGCGGTTTGCAGAGTTATCAATCGTAATCCTATCTGTTCTTGTCAGCAAGGATTTACCGGAGATGCTTTCACTATCTGTTTCCCTGTTCCACGTTCGTATGGATTTATTATCGTTATGAATTTATTTTAAAAAAAGAAAATTTTATAACTTTACTTAATTATTTTTCTTAAATTCTGTAGGTCCATCACCAGAGTCTTTAACACCTATGCAAGATCCTTGTCTTCCATCTCCTTGTGGTCCATACTCGCAATGTCGAAATATCGGAGGAAATCCCTCTTGTTCTTGTTCACCATCTTATATCGGTGTTCCACCAAATTGCAGACCAGAGTGCACGATAAATGCAGAATGTTTGAGTGCACTCGCTTGTATTCGCGAGAAGTGCTCTGATCCTTGTCCAGGATCGTGTGGTGTTGGTGCGCAATGCACTGTTCTTAATCATGTTCCAATTTGTTCTTGTCTTGAGGGATATACTGGAGATCCATTTAGCAGCTGTATTCCGAAACCATTTATATGTAAGAATTTTTTTTTAATTTAAAATTGGCTATTCATAGAATGGTTTCAGAATAAAATTTAGATTTGGGTAATTTTATTTTACAATTTTTTATAAAATAATCAAAATCAAAATTGTTATTATATTCTGATCATATTCTTTCTATTTCTTCTTATTCAAAAATTCAAAAATATCTGAAATCATCAAGAATATACTTTTAAATTCTTATATAACTACTATTAACAACTTCAATTTATACATAGCCGAAGAACCAGTGTTAGATCCTTGCAATCCCTCACCATGTGGAGCAAACGCGCTTTGTCGCGATGGCTCTTGCACGTGTCTTCCGGAATTCCAAGGTGATCCTTATAGTGGTTGCCGACCAGAATGTGTGATGAATACTGACTGTGCCCGTGACAGAGCATGTATAAGAAACAAATGCATAGATCCATGCATAGGAACTTGTGGACAAAACGCACAATGCCAGACGATTAATCACATTCCCATGTGTAGTTGTCCTACTGGCATGTCCGGAAACGCTTTTGTTTCCTGTTCTGCAGTTCAGGGTACAATATATTAAATCTTCATTAATTTCCACAAAATTTAAAATTGAAAATATTAAATTTAAATTGTTCTACTTTTTCATTAGAAGATACAATACAGAATCCTTGTTCTCCATCACCTTGTGGACCAAATAGTCATTGCCAAGAAGTAAATGGAATCGCAGTTTGCAAATGTATAGAAGGTTTTATGGGCAATCCGCCCACTTGTCGGCCAGAATGTGTCGTTAGTTCAGATTGCGAGCTTTCCAAGGCTTGTGTCAATCAGAAATGTAGAGATCCTTGTCCCGGAAGTTGTGGTGTGAGAGCAGAATGCTCCGTGGTCAATCACAATCCTATTTGCAGGTGTCCTCAAGGTTTGAGCGGTGATCCTTTCGCTGCTTGTACTGTTATAGGTGAGACATTAGTCATTAAAACTGAACAAAATATCGTTTAAAGTCTTTTTTATTTTATTGAATTCGTTTCACAGTTGAAACATCTCCAGAACCGATCAATCCGTGTTATCCATCACCTTGCGGTCCAAACGCTCAATGTCAAGTTGTGAATCAAGCACCCTCATGCTCGTGTTTGCCAGAATTCACGGGATCCCCGCCAAATTGTAGACCAGAATGTGTTAGCAATAGCGAATGTTCAATTCGACAGGCTTGTATTAATCAGAAATGCAAAGATCCATGTCCTGGTTTGTGCGGAGCTAACGCTGAGTGCAGCGTGTTCAGTCATACTCCGATTTGTTCTTGTCGTACAGGATTCACTGGAGATCCTTTTGTTCAATGCAGTCCTCTTCAAAGTAAGTTTGTCCCTTTCGATTTTATTTTTAATACTGAAAGTCGAATTTTTTATGATTTTTAATTCACAAGATTTTTAAGTTTTTATAAACTTTTTTTTTCAATTTCATTTGATTTTCTACATTTATAGTTGCTGAAGAAAGACCTTCACCTTGTACACCAACACCATGTGGTGCAAACGCGGTTTGCAAAGAATCAGGAAATGCGGGTGCTTGCTCCTGCTTGCCTGATTACATAGGAAACCCTTACGAGGGTTGCAGACCAGAATGCGTCGTCAATTCAGATTGTACAGCGAATCTCGCATGCGTAAGATCCAAGTGCCAGGATCCTTGTCCAGGTGCTTGTGGTCCGAATGCCATGTGCAATGCTGTGAACCACTTGCCAGTATGCATTTGTATACAGGGATATACGGGAGATCCATTTAGATATTGCAATTTGAGTCCAAGTAAGGATTGATTATATTTATTTTTTGAGAAATTCAAATGATGTAGATATTAAAGAAAAATCGAAGAATGAGATATTTTTATTTGACTTCATCGAATATCATGTAGAATCTATTAGTTATCCTGTGAAATTTTTAAAAATGTATCTTCTATGTCATCTGAATATATTTTCAAATACTTTAAGTTTCATACTCATTCAAAAATCTACATCATTTGATAATTACATTTGCCAAATCTATCATTCTTCTATTATATTCTAGAAGAAGATGTGATAATGAATCCTTGCAATCCTTCACCTTGTGGACCAAATAGCGAATGTCGTGTGAACAATAATCAAGCAGTCTGTTCTTGTAAATCATTTTACCTTGGCAGTCCACCTAATTGCAGACCAGAATGCGTAGTTAGCACTGAGTGCTCTCTGACACGAGCCTGTGTTAATCAGAAATGCATAGATCCGTGTCCCAATTCATGTGGCGTGAATGCCAATTGTAGGATTATTAATCACAGTCCTATTTGTTTCTGCAACAATGGATACACTGGAGATCCTTTCACTGCCTGTTTCCGTGCTCCTGGTACGGAATAAATATTTTTATAAAAACAATTAGTATTTTATTCTACAATAAGTATTTTTTAAATTCATTGGTCATATTTTTAAAAGTTCCTCCAGAAACTGCACCAACAGTGCAAAGAGATCCGTGTTCGCCATCACCATGTGGACCTAATGCAATTTGCCAGAATGTAGGTCAAACTCCAGCTTGCACTTGTTTGTCAAACTATCGTGGCAGTCCACCAAACTGCAGACCAGAGTGTACGATCAATTCTGAGTGTCCTAGTAACCAAGCATGTATCCAAGAAAGATGTAAAGATCCCTGTCCAGGTTCATGTGGTTTCAATGCTCTGTGTACTGTATTTAATCACGTTCCTATGTGTTCATGTATCGAAGGATATACTGGTGATCCTTTTAATCAATGTAGTCAACAAGTGAAACCTCGTAAGTATTCATTTTCTAAAAAATTTCTTCAGTAGGTATCGATCAATTAGATTAAAATTAAATTCTTTACATCAGCTGAACCAGTAGAGACAGATTTATGTAATCCATCTCCCTGTGGACCTAACGCTCAATGCGATAATGGAATCTGTTCTTGTCTGTCCGATTATTATGAAGATTCGACTATTGGTTGTCGACCAGAGTGTGTACTTAACAATGATTGCCCTAGAGACAAAGCTTGCATGAGAAACAAATGCGAGGATCCTTGCATTGGAACGTGTGCCAATGATGCAATTTGTAATGTAATTAATCATGTACCAATGTGCAGTTGTCCACCTGGTTTCGAAGGAAATGCATTTGCATTCTGTCGTCCTGCTATAGGTATTTTATTATCATAATTTTCCATTAAATTTGGTGAAAAGAATTAATTGATCAAACTTTTCACAAATTATTATATTTCGACAGCCGATGTTCCATCTAATCCGTGCAGTCCATCACCTTGCGGGCCTAATAGTCAATGTCGATCGAATAATGGTCAAGCAATTTGTAGTTGTGTGCCAGGTTATTTAGGAAATCCACCAAATTGTCGTCCAGAGTGTATAATTAGTTCTGAGTGTCCACCAAATGAAATTTGCACGAATCAGAAGTGTAGAAATCCTTGCATCGGCTCGTGTGGTTTGGGAGCTCGTTGCACAGTTGCAAATCGTAATCCGATTTGCCATTGTCCTGAAGGATTCACGGGTGATCCATTCGTTAGATGTCTTCTACTTCGTAAGTTTCCTTTTTTAATTATCATACGAATATTCTAGAAAGATTCAGTTTTTAATATTTCAATGAAATTTATAGCATCAGTTCCACCAGAACCGATAAACGTTTGCCAACCTTCACCTTGTGGACCCAATTCTCAGTGTCAAATATCAGAAAATTCACCTTCCTGCATATGTTTGCCTGATTTTATCGGTTCTCCACCGAATTGCAGACCTGAGTGTATCAGCAATAGCGAGTGTCCGAGTTATCAAGCTTGTATAAACCAAAAATGTAAAGATCCTTGTATTGGTTCATGTGGAGAGAATGCACAATGTCGTACTGTCAGTCACACGCCTATGTGCTATTGTGAAACCGGTTACACTGGTGATCCATTCACGCAATGCTTCATTAAGCCCAGTAAGCTTTCCAAATTTACTTGAAATTTTTATTAATATTATTAGATTGTTGCAAAAAAATATAAAATATATTTAAAATAATGTCATCATCAATTAAATGTTATTATTTCATTCAAAACGTAATATTTAAAAAATTTTCTAAAATTTTTTTGTAGCCATCTAATAATTTATTATCTAAAAATTTAACAGTTGGAATTCGCTTCTATCAAAAAAGATTAATTGACAGCATTCATTACAATTTTAGTCGAGGATACATCGATAAAAGTAAATCCATGCTTACCTTCTCCTTGCGGGCCTAATGCGAGATGCACCGAAAGAAATGACGTAGGCTCTTGCGCGTGTCTCCCGGGTTATATAGGAAATCCGTACGAGGGATGCAGACCAGAATGCATCCTAGACTCCGATTGTTCACCCACTCGTGCCTGCATCAATTTAAAATGTATCGATCCGTGTCCAGGAACGTGTGGAACCAATGCAGAATGCCGCGTAATTAATCATCGAGGTTCTTGCACCTGTTTCTCCGGTTATACTGGTGATCCCTATCAATATTGTTCTATCCAACCTATTGGTAAGTCCAGATTGGTCTTAATCTTCTATCAATCATCGCAGAAAGAAATTATTCGATGCGAAATCCTTCAGTTTCTGAAGTCTCCTCAAGCGATCCGTGTACAAATGGCCAATGCGGTCCTAATAGTCAATGCAGGGTGATTAATCAAGTGGCTGTTTGCTCATGCATGCCGAATTATATTGGTACTCCTCCGGCTTGTAGACCGGAATGTGTTACCAGCTCGGAATGTACTATTGACAAAGCGTGTGTAAATCAGAAATGCGTAAATCCGTGCCCTACCTCTTGTGGAAAGAATTCTGATTGCAGAGTGATCAATCATGCACCTCTGTGTAATTGCATGAGAGGATACACTGGTGATCCGTTCTCTGTCTGTTTTCCTGTTCCATGTAAGTAGAGAGTACTGTATTTGATTTTCTATATTTTTCTTGAATCAATTGATAACAAACTATTAAACAATGGCTGTCAAATATAATTACGATAGAATTAAATTTTATTATATTATATTTTCGTATTTCTAGTGACACCACCTGTTCAATTTGATCTTGTACCGAAAGATCCTTGCATTCCATCTCCTTGTGGTGCTTATTCAGAATGTCGAAACATTGGTAGTATACCATCCTGTTCCTGTTTGGCCACATATATCGGAAACCCACCGAATTGTCGACCAGAATGTACTATAAATTCAGACTGTCCTCCAAATCAGGCTTGCATGCAACAAAAATGCAGGGATCCTTGTCCTGGATCTTGTGCTCCTTTAGCTCAATGTTCCGTTGTCAATCATATACCAACTTGTTCTTGTTTGTCTGGTTATACTGGAGATCCTTTCACCAATTGTTTTGTTCAATCAAGTAAGATGAAAATTTTAAATCGTTTTCTGTAAGATTTCTGTAAGTTTTTTTTATATCCATTATATTAAATTATTACTATTAGCACTACCTATTGAAACTGATCCATGTGCATCTTCACCTTGTGGAACAAATGCACGCTGTGATAATGGCATTTGCACTTGTTTGCCCGAATATTCTGGTGATCCATACGCAGGTTGCAGACCTGAATGTATTCTAAGCAACGAGTGTCCAATTAACAGAGCTTGCGTTAGAAATAAATGTATCGATCCCTGTGTTGGTGTTTGTGGACAGAATGCATTGTGCAATGTGTTCAATCATGCACCTATGTGCAGTTGTCCTCCGGGAATGTCAGGAAACGCTTTCGTACTCTGTTTGCCTCTTCAAGGTATGTCAAACACCTGAACAGAATTTTTTGACTTATATATTAGATAAAAGAATCGTTATAATATAATTTTTGAAATAATTTTAGCAATCGAAATCAGTGATCCTTGCAATCCATCACCTTGTGGTCCTAACAGTCGATGCAGACAAAATAATATGCAAGCTACATGCTCTTGCATAAGTGGATACATAGGAGCACCTCCTACTTGTAGACCAGAATGTGTGGTTAGTTCTGATTGCCCATTAAATGAAGCTTGCATTAATCAAAACTGTAGAAATCCTTGTGAAGGAGGCTGTGGATTAAATGCACTTTGTAATGTCGTGAATCACAATCCTATATGCTCATGTAAGGAAAGGATGACTGGTGATCCTTTCCTCAGATGTTATCCAATACGTAAGCATCACGAAAATCATAATAAAATAGATCTGATTTTTTATTTTTTAATCAAGATTAATTGATTTTTTATAAATATTAAAGCTGAAAGACCTCCAATTCCGATCAATCCTTGTCAACCATCTCCTTGTGGACCAAACGCGGAGTGCCAAGTGCTCAATGATCAACCATCCTGCTCATGTCTTCTAGAATTTATAGGATCACCACCTAACTGTCGCCCAGAGTGTGTCAGCAATAGCGAATGTCCTAATCGATTAGCATGCATCAAACAAAAATGTCAAGACCCTTGCATAAATTCTTGTGGAGTGAATGCGATTTGTAATGTGGTTAGTCACACTCCAATGTGCGCTTGTATTGATGGTTACAGTGGGGATCCATTTACACAATGTGTTCCACAGCAATGTAAGAATTGATATTCATTTTATTTAATATCTTCTATATAGAATTTCTCAGGAAGAATTGGTACAATCAAGCAGAAAGCTTTTCAAAATGAATGTAAATTGGATAAAAAAATTTTATCATCTTCTGCCTGATTATGCCTCTTTTGCAGATATACGTATTTTAAAGCCAAAATGTAATCATGAATTGTTTTCAATCTTTTTAGTTGATGATGAAAGTAATAAACCAGATCCTTGCACTCCATCCCCATGTGGATCAAATGCAATCTGTCGAGTTCAACAAAATACAGCTTCCTGTTCCTGTCAAGATGATTATATTGGAAATCCTTACGAGGGATGTAGACCCGAATGTACCCTAAGTTCAGACTGTCCATCCAATCAAGCTTGCTTTAGATCTAAATGTAGAGATCCTTGTCCTGGAACTTGTGGTCCAAATGCTCAGTGTTATGTTATCAATCACGCAGCCGTTTGTAGCTGTCTTGAACGATACACTGGTGATCCTTTCAATTACTGCAATCTCATCACAGAACGTAAGATAAATTTAAAAATTCAATTTGAGAGAAATTATATCTTGAAGATGAGAAATGATATTGTATCTAATATTGTATAATTTTTTGTATAAATATGTCTTCTTGCAGAACCTAAACCTAATCTCGCTAATCCTTGTGAGCCAACACCTTGCGGACCTTATAGTCAATGTAGAGAAATCAATGGTCAAGCCACATGTTCTTGTCTTCAAACTTATATAGGTGTACCTCCTAATTGTAAACCAGAGTGTACAATTAGTTCTGATTGCTCGTTGAATCTGGCTTGTAAAAATAATAAATGTATTGACCCATGTCCTGATTCTTGTGGTCAACAAAGCACTTGCAGAGTCGTAAATCATAGTCCTATTTGCAGTTGCAAACCAGGCTTCACTGGTGATCCCTTTACATACTGTTTCTTCAATCCACGTAAGCTTTGAATAATTTTTTTCAGAATATCATTTCAATATTTATAATCAAAGAAATTTCATAATGATTATATGGAATTTTAGCTCCATCCGTTATCGAGACACCTATAGATCCATGTATCAATTCACCTTGCGGACCCAATTCTCTGTGTCGCAATGTTAATGGCTCTCCTTCATGCTCTTGCATGCTTAATTATATCGGTGCGCCACCGAATTGTCGTCCAGAATGTGTCATCAACATGGATTGTCCCAGAAATCAGGCTTGTATTCGCGAGAAATGCCAAGATCCTTGTCCAGGATCCTGTGGAATTAACAGTGTTTGTACCGTATACAATCATATTCCTGTTTGTACATGTTTAGAAGGATACACGGGAGACCCTTTCAATAGTTGTCAACTCAAACCAATAAGTAAGTTACATTAAACACCTAGAATTGATAAAATTTGAACAATATGAGATAATATCTCATAAATATATGATGTTGAAACAGAAGTAGAAGAACCTGTGATAGATCCATGCAGCAAATCTCCTTGTGGTCCCAATGCTCAGTGTGATAATGGCATTTGCACTTGCTTACCAGAATATTTCGGCAATCCATACATCAATTGTCGACCAGAATGTGTATTAAGTATAGACTGTTCAAATGACAAAGCATGTATAAAGAACAAATGCGTGGATCCTTGTCCTGGAGCTTGTGGTCAGAATGCTCAATGCAATGTTATCAATCACATACCCATGTGTAGTTGTCCCTCTAATACTGGAGGAAATGCTTTAATAGTATGTTCACCTGTGCAAGGTATATATTCATTTAGATAATTATAATTCATAATTTTCTCCAGTTAATTATTATTTATAACAAAAGATGATTATAACAATATTAATTATTGAATCATAGTTCCTGCAAAAACAAAACCATGTAATCCATCCCCATGTGGACCAAACAGTATATGTAGAGAGGTGAATGATCAAGCTGTATGCACTTGTGCTCCAGAGTATCTTGGAACTCCACCTTTGTGCAGGCCAGAATGCTTGATTAGTTCAGATTGTCCTCAGAATCAGGCTTGCTTGAATCAGAAATGTAAAGATCCATGTATTGGAACATGTGGTATTCAAGCAATCTGTTTAGTAGTGAATCATAATCCTGTTTGCTCTTGTCCAGAAGGATATACAGGAAATCCGTTCATCAGATGCGAGATCAGTAAGAAAATGAATGAAATCTTTAAAAATTCTACAAATCAAGTTGTACAAAAATTTGATTTTTTTTTAGAATTAGATTTATTAAACAAAGAATTCTTAAGAATATTAAATAATTCCTAAAGGATTTTAAGGAATTTCATTTGTAAACAAAATTTGCTTAAAATTCTTAATCTAATAATCAATAATAGAATTTTAAAATAAAATTACATAATAAAAATTCCCCATTTATAGAAAAAATAATAGCGCCTACGAACCCTTGTCAACCATCACCCTGCGGCCCATATTCCCAATGTCAAGTGATCAACGACACCCCATCTTGCAGCTGTCTGTCTGAATATATAGGCGCTCCGCCAAATTGCAAACCTGAGTGCATATCGAACTCCGAGTGCCCCAGCCACCAAACCTGTATTCGACAAAAGTGCAGAGATCCTTGTCCAAATCTCTGTGGAGAGAGTGCAGAATGCCACGTAACTTATCACGTACCAAACTGTGTTTGTCCTAATGGTTTCACCGGAGACCCTTATACACGTTGCACGATAATAAGTAAGAAACGAACTCCTTAATAAGGAGAGACAAACTCAAGTTATCATTTAGATGAAACTAATTCTGATTTTTAACTGTTCTAGCTCGCGAACCAGAACCCTCACCCTGCGCTGAAGGCACTTGTGGCACAAATGCTTTGTGCAGAGAACGAGACAGTATCGGCATTTGTTATTGCCCCCCTGAATACGTTGGCAATCCATATGTAGGCTGTAGACCCGAATGTGTGATTAACCCTGATTGTCCATCCAACAAAATGTGCGTTCGAAACAAATGCCAAGATCCTTGTCCTGGAGCCTGCGGCTGGAAAGCCGAGTGCTCAGTGGTTAACCATCTGCCTTTCTGCAATTGCCCATCAGGATTCACTGGCGACCCGCTTGTCGCATGCAGTGTAGCTCGTAAGTGGAATCCAACCCTATTTCACAGATATTTCATTCATATTCTTTTAAATTTTTTTCTGCATGTTGCATTTATATCGGAAAAAAAATTTTTACCTTTCGTCTAACTTATATTTTTATATTATATCTTTTATATTGATCTATCATATATTTTTGGAATTAAAAACTTCGATTATGTTTTTACATTCCAAAATATAATCGAATTCAACTTGTTTCCCCAATAGTAGTGTCGCAAGATGTGGATATGTGCAGCCCATCACCTTGCGGACCGAATAGTCAGTGCAAAGAGATATCCGGTCAGGCTGTGTGCTCATGCCTACCAACTTATGTAGGCACCCCTCCTGGATGCAGACCAGAATGTGTAGCTAGCTCCGAATGTCCCACCCAGCTCGCGTGCAAGGATTACAAATGCATAAATCCGTGTCCAAGTCCTTGCGGCCTGAACACCAAATGCGTAGTTGTGAATCATAGTCCCATCTGTAGTTGCATGCCCGGATACAGTGGAGATCCATTCACTACTTGCACACCGATTCCACGTAAGAGTAAAATCCATAACTACCTAAAAAAATTCACGAGTATTCATATAATTCACACAAAAAAAGTGAAAAATTTATCGTTCTTTACTTTTTCTTTACCCTACTTTTTTTATTTCCTATTCTTAATATTTTATGATATGATAATAAAATATATAAAATAATAATATATAAAATAATCCTCGCTTTTAGCTGTCACAATCCCTGGCCCAATGAAGAAAGACCCCTGTGTGCCATCCCCATGTGGTAGTTTCGCCCAATGTAGAAACATTCGCGATTCAGCAGCATGCAGCTGCTTAGAAGGTTACACTGGTCAGCCACCGAATTGCAGACCCGAATGCACGATCAATTCCGAATGTCAAAGCGACATGTCTTGTGTCAACATGAAATGCAGAGATCCTTGTCCCGGTTCCTGTGGTCTTGCTGCTATTTGCACAGTGGTTAACCACATTCCCATATGTAATTGCCCCGAAGGTTTCACTGGAAATCCATTCACTCTCTGTCAATTGCTACCAGCCACACGTAAGAAACCTATCCAACATTCATTTAATCATTTGCATTTGAAGGATATCTTTAGTCTCATTTCAATTCATTTCATTTTACAGCCATTATGTCAACACCAATAGAAGATGAATGTTCTTTGTCACCCTGTGGACCTAATACAGAATGCTTAAAAGGTGTTTGTACGTGCCTGTCAGAATTCCAAGGAAACCCATATCTAGGATGTCGACCCGAATGCGTGTTAAACACTGACTGCCCTCGCGATAGAGCTTGTTTGCGGAACAAATGTATGAATCCTTGTCCCGGAACCTGTGGTCTAAATGCCATTTGCGCGGTTATCAATCATGTGCCTATGTGCAGCTGTCCCGGAAATATGACTGGCAATGCGTTTAGTCAATGTACTCCCTTACAAGGTAGTCAACGATCATAATACTGTTACAAGAAAAAAATTTTTGGATTTATAACCCGTGTAATTTTGAAGTGATTGAATAATGTATATGGATCCCTAATCAAATTTTCTTTTTGCTTTTATCAGATATAATACCCATCAATCTATGTAGCCCAACACCCTGTGGACCCAATAGCGAATGCAGAATCGTAAACAGTCAAGCAGTTTGCTCATGCATCAAAGGATTCTTAGGAAGCCCACCCACCTGTAGACCCGAGTGCATTGTGAGCACAGATTGCCCGCAGAACGAAGCCTGTAATAATCAGAGATGCACAAACCCGTGTCCAGGAACATGTGGAATCGGAGCCAAGTGCAACGTCGTCAACCATAATCCCGTATGCAGTTGCCCATTACGTTTCACAGGCGATCCATTTGTACAGTGCATGCCTTTCTGTAAGAATTCATTTTCTCCCTGATTATTCTAATTAATTCTCATTTTACTTGTTAATTATCAAGATTATTTATGACTCTACATTTTTTTATGTCTTGCATTTTTATTTTAGTGGAAGAACCTGCGATAGATCCATGTAAGCCATCTCCTTGTGGTCCAAATTCTCAATGTCAGGTGATCAACGATTCTCCCTCTTGTTCATGCTTGCCAGAATTCTCTGGCAGTCCACCCAATTGTCGTCCAGAATGCATTAGTAACACTGAATGCCCTAGTCAATTAGCTTGTATCAATCAGAAATGTAAAAATCCTTGTATTGGATCTTGTGGATCTGGTGCTGACTGCCATGTCATCAGTCACACTCCCATGTGTACTTGTTTGAGCGGATACACAGGCGATCCGTTCTCACAGTGCATTTTTAAAGAACGTAAGATTCTCAAGAGAAAATTTGTCTACTTATATTTTTAAGCATATCATTAACGTCATAATCCAATTTTACAGCTACAATTCCATTGTCCATGCCCATTGATCCCTGTAACCCGTCCCCTTGTGGTTCAAACGCTATTTGTAAAGAATTAAATGGAGCTGGTTCGTGTACCTGTATTTCTAATTACATCGGAAATCCATACGAGGGATGTCGACCAGAGTGTTTGTTAAATTCTGATTGTCCTGCTAATCAAGCTTGCATGAATAGCAAATGTCAAGATCCTTGTCCAGGAATCTGTGGTCGTAACGCAGAGTGTCATGTTATCAATCACTTACCAGTGTGCGAATGTTATCCTGGTCACACTGGTAATGCATTTGTCCTGTGTTCACTTATGCTGCCAGGTATATTTTATAAAAGAATATTGTGGAAGAAGAATATTATGAAAGAAGATTCTTAAAAAAGATTATTAAATATTCCCTTACAGAAGTCGATCAAACGATCAGTCGACCTTGTAATCCATCTCCCTGTGGACCTAACAGTCAATGCAGACCAATCAATGGACAATCTGTGTGTTCGTGTTTGCCTGATTTCATAGGAAGTCCACCATCCTGTAAACCAGAGTGTACGATTAGTACAGAATGTGCGCCAAATCTAGCTTGTATCAATAAAAAATGCAGTGATCCTTGTCCTGGATCATGTGGTTCGAATACCAGATGCGAAACTATTAATCACAAAGCCATTTGTGCTTGTCAACCTAGTTTCACTGGCGATCCACTCGTTGCTTGTTTCGAAATGATGAGTAAGTTCCCCAAAATTCACAAACGCATTTATAAAAAATAATTATTCTATTGATTTCATTGCAATGTTCATTTCAGTGGAAAGACCATCTCCCTTACCACCAATATATGAGAATCCTTGTATACCATCCCCTTGTGGACCATATTCAGAATGTCGTAATGTAAATGGTCAGGCTTCTTGCGCCTGTTTATCAGAATATATGGGTACACCGCCTAATTGTAGACCAGAATGTATAAGGAATTCAGAATGTCCTAGCAATCAGGCTTGCATTCAAAAGAAATGTCGTTATCCTTGCGAAGGAGTTTGTGGTGTAGGTGCCCAATGTACTGTAACTGATCACATACCCATTTGTACATGTCCCAAAGGATTATCTGGTGATCCTTTCGTCAAATGTTCGCTTGCTCCAGGTACAAATTATTTAGTTATATCAAGATTTTATACTAGCATTATTATTTAATATTTAATTTGGTTATTACTTAATAAATTTATACAATTAGTGATACAGGAAAAACCTGCGGATTTTTGTGTCAATTGTGGTACAAATACGCAATGTATCAATGGAGTTTGTATCTGTCTACCAGAATATCAGGGAGATCCATATTTGGGTTGTCGTCCAGAGTGTGTTTTGAACTCAGACTGTCCCAGAGATAAAGCTTGTATTAAGAGCAAGTGCAATGATCCATGTGCAGGCACTTGTGGCCAAAATGCATTATGTTCCGTAGTAAATCATATTCCAGTTTGCACTTGCCCATCTGGAACTTCAGGAAATGCATTTGTAGTCTGTTCTACCATTCAAGGTACAATTGATTGATTCAATGATTATTCAATTTTTCCACAATGATTCCATATTTTATTGAAATTACTTTTGATATTTAAATAGTGCAAACACCGAAAGATCCATGCAACCCATCACCCTGTGGACCCAACAGCCAATGCAGAAAAATAAATGATCAAGCAATTTGCTCTTGCATCCCTGGTTATCTAGATACGCCACCGAATTGTAGACCAGAATGTATTCTTAGTTCAGATTGTCCGTCCAATATGGCTTGTAATAATCAAAAATGCATTGATCCTTGTCCAGGAACTTGTGGAATAAGAGCTGAATGTGTGGTCGTGAATCACAACCCGATTTGTAGTTGCCCATCTGATTTGGTAGGCGATCCTTTTAGAATATGTCTCAGAAAACGTGAGTATATTTTTTTAATCGCAAGAAACAATTGATTAATTTCTTAAACAAAAAAGATTATTTATATTAAATTTTCTTTAATAGCCGAAGAACCCCAAGTCTTAAACCCATGCGTTCCATCACCTTGCGGTCCAAACAGTCGATGTCAAGTCATAAATGAATCACCTTCATGTTCTTGTTTGCCTGAATTCCTCGGTTCTCCACCAAATTGCAAGCCAGAATGCATTAGTAACAGCGAGTGTTCCACTCATTTGGCTTGTATAAATCAAAAGTGTCGCGATCCTTGTCCTGGTTCCTGTGGTTCCAATTCTGAATGCAGAGTGATTAGTCATACGCCTATGTGTGTATGCTCGTATGGTTTCATTGGCGATCCTTTCATACAGTGTGTTCCAAAACCAGGTAAAAATTATAAAATTATTATTAGTTATTGTAATATTTTTAACAAATGATACAAAAAAAATTATTTAAAATTTAATAGTCTTTGAAGATACCATAGAAAAACCTACCCCATGTGTTCCGTCACCCTGTGGCTCTAACGCAGTGTGTAATGAGTTAAACGGTGCAGCATCCTGCAAATGTCTTTCTGATTACATTGGCAATCCCTACGAAGGCTGTCGACCAGAATGTATTATTAATTCCGATTGTACAGCTGATCTGGCTTGTGTTAGATCTAAATGTCAAAACCCTTGTCCAGGATTCTGTGGATATAATGCTATTTGTCAGGTTGTTAATCATGCACCTCTGTGCACTTGCCAGCCTGGATATACAGGAGATCCATTCGTTCAGTGCAATGTTATTCAAGAGTCACGTAAGTCTAATAATTTTGAAGTAATTTCTGAGGAAATCAGAAATTTAGATTCTATGATGTAAATATTCTTATAGCAAAACCAGCTGATCCTTGTAGTCCATCTCCTTGCGGTTTGAACAGTCAATGTCGCGTATCTAACGAACAAGCTATCTGTTCTTGTTTGCCTGCCTTCATGGGAACTCCACCAATGTGCAGACCAGAATGTACAGTTAGTTCCGATTGTGCGACGAATCGTGCTTGTAAGAATCGCAAATGTATAGATCCTTGTCCAGGAATTTGCGGTATCAATGCTAGATGCGAGTCTATCAATCATAGTCCGATTTGCAGTTGCAATATGGGTTATACTGGTGATGCTTTTGTCAGATGTTTCAAAGTTCCAAGTGAGTAAATTGGTCTCAATTTTGGCAAAAATCTTTAAACAGTTTTTGAATCTATAAGAATAAGTTTTGATTACAACAAGAACTTTGCTCTTATTTTATTTTTCTTTAGCTGTTCAAATTGGTAGTTCAGACGAACCAATTAATCCTTGCGTGCCTTCACCATGTGGTCCATTCTCTGTCTGTCGCATTGTTGGAAACGCGGATTTACCAAGTTGTACTTGTATGGAGAATTATATAGGAACTCCACCGAATTGTCGACCAGAATGCACCATTGATTCAGAATGTGCCAGTAACAAGGCTTGTCTCAGACAAAAATGTACAGATCCTTGTCCAGGTTCCTGTGGTACAGGAGCTCAATGTTTGGTAGTGAATCATATGGCTGTATGTACTTGTCCTAAAGGTTATACAGGAGATCCATTTGTCAATTGCTTCCTTCAACCTCCTCGTAAGCATTTTTCTAGATGAAATAGGAAAAAATTATTTTGAGACAAGATTTAATTATATTTTTTCTGATAGCTTCATCACCGGTTCTTCAAGATGCTTGTAATCCTTCACCATGCGGATCAAACGCAATGTGTCGCAATGGTGTATGCAGCTGCTTACCAGAATATCACGGTGATCCATATTACGGATGTCGTCCAGAATGTGTTCAGAATCCAGATTGTCCTTTAGATAAAGCTTGCAATCGTAACAAATGTTTCGACCCTTGTACCGGCATTTGTGGTCAGAACGCCGAGTGTGTCGTAATAAATCACACTCCTATGTGCAGTTGTCCCGATGGCATGTCAGGAAATGCGTTTATGGCGTGTTATCCGGTTAAAGGTAAAATTATTTAATTATTAAAGGAACTATTAATTATATTAAATTTTTCGAAATAGTTCCTTTTGAATGGATTAAAAAAATATCATTTGTATTGCAGACCCAGTGATAGTACAACCTTGCAACCCATCACCCTGTGGTCCCAATAGTAGGTGTCAAGACATTAATGGACAGGCAGTTTGTTTCTGTGCCCCTGGTTACATAGGAAACCCACCAGCTTGTCGACCAGAATGTATAGTTAATAGTGATTGTTCGTTAAATGAAGCTTGTGTGAATTTGAAATGTAGAGATCCATGTCCTGGATCCTGTGGAGTATCAGCTCGATGTCAAGTGGTCAATCATAATCCCATTTGCAGTTGTCCTTCGGCATTTATTGGCGATCCTTTTATCCGTTGCTTACCTAGACGTAGGTATTCTTTATGTTTGATTCATTTCAAGATATTCTTCTCAAATAATAAAAATTTAATTATTAAATTTCTTTAAAAGCCGAAGAACCTGTGTTATCAACTAATCCATGTCAATCATCATCGTGCGGTCCAAACGCAAACTGTCAAGTTATTAACAATTCACCATCCTGTTCGTGCAAACCAGAATTTATTGGTACTCCACCAAATTGCAAACCAGAGTGTATCAGTAATACCGAATGTGCTAGTCATATGGCGTGTATCAATCGCAAATGTAGAGATCCTTGCCCTGGTTCCTGTGGTCCTAATGCGGAATGTCACGTAGTAAATCACATTGCATCATGCATATGTATTAAGGATTACACTGGAGATCCATTCGTTCAATGTGTTCCCAAGCAACGTAAGTGTACGCTATTAATTTATAATAGAGAACAAAAAATCAAATTGAGTTAATTTTGTTGTTTTTTTAGCGGATACAAGTATAGCACCTAGACCTTGTGAACCTTCTCCATGCGGAGCTAATGCAATTTGCCGAGAGCAAAATGATCTTAGCTCTTGCACTTGTTTACCCGAATACATCGGTAATCCTTACGAAGGATGCCGACCAGAATGCATTCGTTCCTCAGATTGTCCCTCCCATTTGGCATGCATTAGATCTAAATGTCAGAATCCTTGTCCCGGTTCTTGCGGAACTAACACCAATTGTCAAGTGGTGAATAATTTACCTGTATGCACTTGCATTCCGCAATATACTGGTGATCCATACGTAAACTGTGTATACAAGATTTCACCAAGTGAGTAAATTTAATAAGTTAAAATTATTTATTTTCAAATGCACATTAAATATAAATATTTTTCAGCCGAAGAAGAAGAACGAGATGTTTGTCAACCATCTCCTTGCGGTCCGAATAGTCAATGTCAAAATGTAAATAGTCAAGCAGTATGTTCCTGCTTACCTCAATATATAGGAACTCCACCAAATTGTAGACCAGAATGTGTCGTGAATTCGGAATGTAATTCGAATCTCGCGTGTATCAATCAAAAATGCAAAGATCCTTGTCCTGGCACATGTGGGACGAATGCACAATGCAAAGTAATTCATCATAGTCCCATTTGTAGTTGTGGAAATGATTTTACAGGAGATCCTTTTGTTCACTGCTTCCCTGCTCCATGTAAGCTAAGATTAAATTTTATTTATATATAATTTTTATAAAAAGATATTCGTTGCGTTCGATTGCAATAATATTTACTTCACAGTGCCAAAGCCGGAAGAACCATATCCGAAAGATCCATGTGTTCCATCACCTTGTGGTCCAAACGCGATGTGCAAAGCCATAGGAGAAACTCCAGTCTGTACTTGCATGAACAATTATATCGGAGTTCCACCGAATTGCCGACCAGAATGCTCTATTAATTCGGATTGCATAGCAGATAAGGCATGCATTCAGGAGAAATGTAGAGATCCTTGTCCAGGATCTTGTGGCTTGAATGCACGTTGCACAGTTATAAACCATACACCAGCTTGTACTTGTCCTGAAGGATATTCCGGTGATCCATTCATCAATTGTTCGCCAACTACATTTAGTAAGGAGTGAAACAACCGATGGATTCTTTTGAAATTCACGTTCAAAATTTATATATTGATTTTTCAGTTTCAGAACCTCCATCAAATCCATGTAAGCCATCACCATGTGGACCAAATGCACAGTGCAATAATGGTGTTTGTACTTGCATACCTGGCTATCTAGGTGACCCATACACTATATGTCGACCTGAATGTGTAATCAACACAGATTGTTCCCGAAACGAAGCTTGCATATTGCACAAATGCAGAAATCCTTGTGTAGGAACTTGTGGAATAAATGCAGAGTGTAACGTAGTCAATCATCTACCGATGTGCAACTGTCCTAGGAATATGACGGGCAATGCATTCGTTTCGTGTATCCCTCTTCGAGGTTGGTTCTTTAATCTCTTCCCTTTATTCTATATTTTCGATGATTCTTATTGCCATGTTAAATTAATATTTAAAAATTTGTTATGGTAGAACCTACTATAATTGATCCATGCAATCCATCTCCTTGCGGTCCGAACAGTCATTGTCGATCTTCCAATGGCCAAGCTGTTTGTAGTTGTGTTACTGGATTTAAGGGATCACCACCATCTTGTAGACCAGAGTGTATCGTTAGTACTGATTGTCCGCGTAATAGAGCTTGCAGTAATCAGAAATGCATCGATCCTTGTCTTGGTACTTGTGGATTATCTGCCCAGTGTTCTGTGATCAATCATAATCCCGTATGCAGCTGTTTCGAGCAATATACTGGAAATCCATTCGTACAATGTATCCCGCAAAGTAAAATTTTTTTATTCTTCCAGAAAATTTTTTTAACGATATTGATGAAAAATCCTCTTAATATTGGAATTTATTTTTAGCAAAACAACCGGATATTCCAGTGAATCCTTGTCAGCCATCACCTTGCGGTCCCAATGCTCGATGTCAGATGATCAATAATGCACCTTCGTGTTCTTGTCTCCCTGAATTTATAGGAACTCCGCCAAACTGCAGACCTGAATGCGTGAGCAATTCAGAATGCCCAACGCAACAGGCTTGCATTAATCAAAAATGCAAAGATCCTTGTCCTGGATCCTGTGGTAGGAACACCGAATGCAGAACTATTAGTCACACTCCTATGTGTACTTGTGCTAATAACTTCACCGGAAATCCGTTTATTCAATGTACACCTCAACCAAGTAAGATTTTCCCTTTAATTATTGATTTATAAATTTAAATCAAAAGATCGGTATCATTTTTTTTATTTTTTTATTTTTTTATTCATAGTCGAAGATATACAAAGAGTCAACCCGTGTCAACCATCTCCTTGTGGTCCAAATGCTATTTGTCGCGAATCTTATGGTTCACCTCAATGCACTTGTTTGCCCGATTTCTATGGAAATCCGTATGAAAATTGTAGACCGGAATGTGTTATTAATACCGATTGTCCATCCAACCGTGCTTGTATAAGAAACAAATGTCAAGATCCTTGTCCAGGAACTTGTAGTTTTAATGCCGATTGCAATATAATCAATCATATTCCAATATGCAGTTGTAAACTGGGTTACACTGGTGATCCATTTAGATATTGCAGTATACTCGAACAACTTCGTGAGTTTTTTCACAAATTATAAGAAACACTAATCAGTTGCACTAGACACAATCTGATGATAATATGTTTTATCAGCCATACTAAGTCCCACAAATCCATGCGACCCATCACCGTGCGGACCTAACAGTCGATGTCGCAATATGAACGGTCAGTCCAGTTGCTCTTGCCTTCCCAATTTCAAGGGAACTCCTCCATTATGTAGACCAGAATGCGTAGTTAGCACGGAATGTGCTAGCAATAAAGCTTGCATAAACCAAAAATGTATAGATCCATGTTCCGGAGTTTGTGGAATAAATGCGAAATGCGAAGTCTTCCATCATAGTCCTATTTGTAGCTGTGATATTTCTCAAACCGGAGATCCATTTGTAAGATGCTTTGACATGACCAGTAAGTGAATTATTTGAAAGAATCTCACTTCTAATCATATTCATTTGGAATTATTTTCAGGGATATATTTTTTAATTTGCATACGTTTTTTTAGCACCCGTACCACTTTTACCCATAAACCCTTGCGTTCCATCACCTTGCGGTCCATTTTCGCAATGTCAAGATATAGGAGGCATATCATCCTGTTCTTGTTTGCCCAATTATGTTGGTTCAGCTCCCAATTGTCGACCAGAATGTTCCATTAACTCGGATTGTACCAGTAATAAGGCTTGTGTAAGAGAAAAATGTAAAGATCCATGTCCAGGATCTTGTGCAACGAATGCACTATGCAGCGTCATTAATCACACACCTGTTTGCACTTGTCCCAAAGATTACACAGGAGATCCTTTCACTAATTGCCAACCAATTTTAACATCCACACGTAAGAATATTTCCGATATAATTTATTAATTATTAAATTTTAATAATGTCAATAATTGATTTGATTCGATATGAATAACAGCTATCGTCCCAGTTCAAACAGATCCATGCCATCCATCACCTTGCGGTCCAAACGCCATCTGTCGAAATGCTATGTGCAGTTGTATAAACGAGTATCATGGCGACCCTTACCAAGGTTGTCGACCAGAATGCGTGCAGAATTCGGACTGTACTTATGATAAAGCTTGTTCCAACAATAAATGCGTGAATCCTTGTACCAAAGTCTGCGGTCAAAACGCAGAATGCACTGTGATCAATCATATCCCTACTTGCAATTGCTTGAAAAATTATGAAGGAGATCCATTTAACCTCTGCAAACCTGTCCGAAGTGAGTGGAACTACCTACATTGATTGATCCTAAAGAGAAACTAAATTTCAAATGCTCATTGATGTTCTATATGTCACTTTACGATAGAACGTACGAAACCTTGCGAACCCTCACCCTGTGGACCTAACAGCATTTGTCGCGAGTTTAGTGAGCAAGCTTCTTGTACCTGCCTACCTGGATATTTCGGAATTCCACCCAGCTGTAGACCTGAATGTTTGGTGAACTCTGACTGTGAACAAAATAAAGCTTGCGTGAATCAGAGATGCCAAAATCCGTGCGACAATACTTGCGGACAAAGTGCGTTATGTATCGTACGAAACCACAATCCTATTTGCAGTTGTCCTGTTCAGTATTCCGGTGACCCGTTTGTCAGCTGTTTCCCTATGAGTAAGTAATGCATGCTTGGATCGGTGTTGTCTATGAATTTCTTCCTTTTTTGAATTTTGTGAACGTTCTTATTGCAATAGAGAATATTTTTAAATTTTGACTATGTTTCTCTTAAAATTTGACTATGTTTTATTCCCATGAATAGCTCAATTCTCATCCTCAGACAGCGCTAATTTATATCTCAAAATTTCTAACAAAAATAGATTACAATGTTTAACCTGTAATAAACTTTTGTCAACGAACAGCACCACAATACGAAGAGGCTAGTCAGAATCCGTGCAAACCCTCGATATGTGGACCGAATTCTCAATGCACAGTAACACAAGACAATAAAGCTTCTTGCGCCTGTATGCCCGAGTTTATAGGCTCACCTCCCAATTGTAGACCTGAATGTCTCGTGAACAGCGAATGTCCTAGCAACCAGGCGTGCGTTAAACAGAAGTGTACCGATCCTTGTACCGGACTCTGCGGCTTTAATGCCCTGTGTCAAGTTACCCAGCATTACATCCACTGTATGTGTTCCGAGGGATACACCGGGGATCCGTTTGCTATTTGTACCGTGATCAAGAGTAAGAAATAATTCCATGAGAATAATCGAAAAAATATAATAAATAAATATTAAAAAGAAATATTAACAACCAAGAATAAGAGATGAACTTTCGCGATTTTTCATTTTTTTTTTATGAAGATACTAATGAATTTTTAATTGAATTTTTTTAATAGATACAAACTTTAGTTTTGTATATATTGTATATAGAGATTGTATGATACATTATAAAAAAAATTGCATGTTGATTATAAATAGTTGAGCAGCCTTCTTCATACACATTCGTCATTTTCTCATATACTTTTCACGATTTCTCTAACAAATAATTTCTATTCGCGTTCTTGTACAGTTCTTAATGTTCTTTTATTTTTTTGTAAATTAACTCTTGTAACTTTTCACGATCATGCAAATTTTTTAACGTAAATCACTAAACAAATCATTTCTGAAATAAAATATTAATATTTTTGGATTTTTATTTTATAGCTCCAGAAGAACCACCTACATCGCTGAAACCCTGCAGTCCTTCACCGTGTGGAATCAACGCTTATTGCAGGGAAAGACAAAATACGGCGTATTGTGAATGTTTGCCAAATTTCCGCGGAAATCCTTATGAAGGCTGTCAACCTGAGTGTTTGACCAACACTGACTGTCTGAAATCGCAAGCTTGCGTCAAGACTAAGTGTCAGGATCCTTGTCCTGGTACTTGTGGCGTTGGTGCGATCTGTACAGTCTCTAATCACATTCCTATTTGCTCTTGTCCTCTGCCTACTATCGGCGATGCGTTTACGATCTGTCAAGCCATTCCTGAAGGTATTTTAATTTTATATAAATAATAAATTTTATATGATTACCTTTTTAAAGATTTCTTGGAAGGGAAATTAATATTATAATTATCATAAGTCGCAATCATTTATCATAAACCATAAATTACAATTATAGTTATTACATACAATTAAAAGAATTTTTATCAAAAAATCAAAAAAAATTTTCATTCTTCATTTTAATCATAATAAAAATATCATATTTATACTAGGTCCAAAAGAAAGAGATCCTTGTTCTCCATCACCATGCGGTCCCAATACTATTTGCGAAAAAATCGGCGATACAGCAGTCTGCAAATGTTTACCTGGTCTCCAAGGAATTCCTTCTAGTATAACAGGTTGTCATCCAGAATGTGTGATTAGTTCAGATTGTCCAGGAGATAAAGCTTGCATCGGTAACAAATGCGTGAATCCTTGCACACAAAATGTGTGCGGTATCAAGGCCACATGTAAAGCCATCAACCACAGTCCTCTGTGTAGTTGTTCACCTCCTTTAATTGGCAATCCATTCGACGAATGTATTATCCAAATTGGTAATTACACGATATTCATATTCGTTATTTTAATATTTAATTTCTTACGAATCTTTATGCTATTAATTTCTTTGTAATTTAAATTTTTTTATATTAATTTATTTTGTTTGTTTCAGAAACTAATCCTTGTAGTCCATCTCCATGTACTTATAATGGGGAATGTAAAGTTCGAAATGGCATCGCGATATGCATATATCCAGAATGTGTTATTAATTCCGATTGTCCACGAGATAAGGCTTGTTTCGGCCAGAAATGTAAAGATCCTTGCATTGGTGCTTGTGGTATCAATTCATTGTGTCAAACAGTGAATCACAAGCCTGTTTGCTCATGTCCAATTGGATTCACTGGAAATGCTCGTATACAGTGTACCATTCCAACGATCGAAGGTGACTTATTTGATTTTAAAATTTTTAACAAAAAAAAAATGCTTTAATAAACTTAATTAAAATATCAAAACACATGCAGAACCAGTTCCAGAATGTATTCATAATTCCGAATGCCCGAACGATAAGACTTGCTACAACCAGAAATGCATTGATCCTTGCACACTCGATTCTTGCGGTTTCAACAGCCGTTGCCACGTACAATTACATCGAGCTGTGTGCGTATGCAACGAAGGGTTCACCGGCAATCCTCAGCAATATTGTGGTGAAAGTAAGTTTAAATTTTGGCTTTTCAAATCCATATCAAAAATGAGAATTTTATCGAATGAATTGAAATGTCTAATATTCATACTATAATAGATATAGATAATGTATTAATATTTTAAATTTTCTTTATGCAGTTGGTTGTCGTGGTGATAGTGATTGTCCATTAACACAATCCTGTGTTAACAACGAATGTATAGACACTTGTTCTGTGACCCAGTGCGGAATTAATGCATTTTGCGAATCAGATGGATATCATAGACCAAGATGTTACTGTCCTGATGGATATTTAGGAAATCCATATCAAGCATGCGAAAGATCAGAATGCGTAACCGATAATGATTGTCCATCTTCTTTATCATGTCGCGATTCAAAATGTATAAATCCTTGTGATTGTCCACTATCTGCACAATGTCATGTGATTAATCATCGACCAATCTGTCGTTGTCCTCCTGGTTATGTAGGCAATCCTTACACCTCGTGTCTGATCGGTAATTATAATTATTTTCTATTTTTGTGAATATAATTTAGATTTATATACAATAAATTATAAATGAACTATTGTTATAGAACCGATTGAACAACAGCCTCAATGTCAAGTTGATGGAGACTGTCCAAGTAAATTGGGCTGTTTCAGTGGTGTTTGCAAAGATCCATGTGTTGAAAGTAAACCTTGCATTGCTGGAGCAAAGTGTTCTGTTGTGAATACTTTGCCAATGAGGACTATGATTTGCGAATGTTTACCAAACTTTGCTGGCGATGCAACTGTCGCTTGTATTCCTGGTAAATATAGAAATTTTTTATTCAATTTTAGTTTTTCATTTAATTTTATTTTCAAGTAAAATAAATAATTTTAAATAAATATTCTTTTTTCTTAGTGGATAAACAAATCGAAGCTATCTGTAAAGCTAACTCTCAATGTGCTTCAAATATGTCATGTCTGAATGAAAGATGTATCAATCCATGCATTATCAATCCATGTGCTTCGAATGCGGAATGTTTAGTCCAAAATCATTATCGTCAATGTCATTGTTCGCGTGGCCATGCTGGTGATCCATTTGTAAATTGTTACAGAGGTAATTGCAAAATGAAAAATGAATAACGAGCAAAAAAGATATTATTATGTTTTTTAACAAAATTTTCATGTTTGTTGCAGATACTGATTCATTTCCAGAATGCACATCAAATCTTGATTGCGCACCTAATGAGGCCTGTATTAATGAATTATGTCAAAATCCATGTGTCAGCACGCAATGTGGTCTGAACGCGGAATGTCTCACTGTTAATCATCATCCAACTTGTCATTGTAAGCAAAACTTCGCGGGAGATCCACAAATACAATGTTTCAGACGTAAGTTGAGACTGTTTATTATGAGAGAATGACAATATAATTCATAATGACAATTATAATTCATAATGACATTCAAAAAAATATAATATTCAATATAATATTTTATTTTACTATTATTACTTAAAATATTTCTTTGCAGCCGAATGCAAATCAGATAGCGATTGTCCTTACGATAAAACCTGTCAAAACAATAATTGCATCACACCTTGCTTGATTGGAGACATTGCCTGTGGTCGTGGCGCAGAATGTATCGCTGTTTCCCACAGGGCGCAATGCGTATGTCCACGAGGCACTCAAGGTGATCCACGAATTGCGTGCATCTCCACAATATGTCATTACAACGAAGATTGTGCAGATCATGAAGCTTGTGATAGGTTGAATAGAGTATGTCGACCTGTTTGTGAGGATGACATTTGTGCAGAAACTGCAAAATGTATTGCGAAAAATCATCAACCTAAATGTATCTGCCCTCTTGGTACCACTGGAAATCCATATATTGACTGTACTGGTAAATTAATTAATTAATTTTAGCTTTGATATGGATTAATGGATTTTGATTCATTTTTTTATTTTGATATCAAATAAGAACGAAGAATAATTTCTTCTCTTTTTTTTTCTAAGGTGTTTCCATCGAACCAGAATGCAAATCAGATAGCGAATGTCCATCATATTTCGCGTGTATCAACACCAAATGCCAAGATCCTTGTCTATCCTCCAATATGTGTTCTGCAGATCAAGAATGCAAGGTATTAAACACAGTTCCTCTTCGTACAATGATATGCAGTTGCCCACCAAACACCATCACTGATATAAATGGATCATGCAAAAAGATTGGTAAATATTATTTCTAATATTCTTCGCCAATTTTGTTTTTAGAAAATGCATTATACACAATGAAAATTTTATTACAGTACAAGAGGATGTGCAATGTCATCAAGATCAAGATTGCATTGATTCTGAAAAATGCATGGAAGGAACTTGCATTGAAGCTTGTCTTACGACCGAATGTGGATTGAATGCACAATGCAAAGCGATATCGCACACCGGAATCTGTTACTGTGCACCCGAATTCACTGGCAATGCTTATATCGAGTGCATCAGAGGTATATTTTAAACATCAATTTAATTTTTAACATCAATTTAATTTTTATAAGTGAAATTTTAGAAATGATTTTAGAAATCATATATTCAAAATTAAAAATTTTTCAGTACCAATAATATTATCACCACGTCCAGAATGTTATTCTAACAATGATTGTTCCAATGACAAACAGTGTATAAATTCTTTCTGCGTGAATCCTTGCATTGTTGGAAATCCATGTGGTAGAAATGCATTGTGTTATGCAAATAATCATAGTCCAGTTTGCAGATGTCCTGCTAATTATATTGGTGATTCAAAGATCAATTGTGAACCGCGTAAGTTTTGAATAAAGAAATAAATATATTATATTTTAATAATAAAATCGATATATTATTCTAGTCAAAAATTTACAATTTTTTGCAGCGGAAATAGTAGCTGAGTGTACCTCGAATAATGATTGTGCAGGCAACACTGCCTGTGTGAACAATTTATGCATTAATCCTTGCAACTGTGGTGCAAATGCCAAATGCAATGTCGTAGATCATTATCCATCTTGTATCTGTTCACCTGGATATTCTGGAAATCCTCAATTGGGTTGTTTTAAACGTAAGCCAGATTTTCTTATCTAAAGAAAGAATAAAACATCAATTAAATTTCACAATTTTATAAAATTGTTCTATTCTAGTGGATTGCGAATCAGATAGCGAGTGCAACAACGCAGCTACATGTTATAATGGGCAATGTGTAAATCCTTGCATTTTAGAGAATAAGTGTGCAATAAATGCAGAATGTTATGGTCAAAATCATCGTGCCATTTGTCGTTGCGGTCCAGGCTATTTGGGCAATCCAGAAATACATTGCGAAAGAGTGGAATGCACATCTGACTATGATTGTCCTCGAAATCTAGCTTGTTACAGTGGACGTTGTGTCAGTCCTTGTATAGAAGATTCACCATGTGCTCAAAATGCTATTTGCTATGTCCAAGATCACGTAGCCACTTGTCGCTGCCCAGAGAATATTCCTGCAGGAAATCCATATTCCTATTGTACACATCCGAAAAAGAAACCTGATGAACCAGAATGCAGAATCGATATTGAATGTGCTGACAAATTGGTGTGCATTAAGAATAAATGTATCGATCCGTGCCCGGTGATCAAACCATGCTTACAGAATGCTCGGTGCAATGTTTTGGATACTGTTCCAGTAAGGACCATGACATGCACATGTCCTGAAGGCTGGACCACTGATATCGATGGCGTTTGCAGACCAAGTAAATATTCTTAAGATTTTTGATTAAAAAAACTCACAGAAAAAAGATTATTATAAAATATTCAATAATGGAATATCAAAGTCAATCTATTTTTTCTTCATTTCAATTTTAATAATATAATAATATAGATTAAATTAGCATTCATTATATTAGAATACGTTTCTTTTTAGTTCAAATAACAATAATTGGCACTTGTACAACAAATGATGAATGCAGTGACGGAGAAGCCTGCATTAATAGACAATGCAGAAACCCATGCAATTGCGGTACAAACGCCGCTTGTTACGTGCGAAACCATAAACCGATCTGTTCCTGTGAAGAAGGATACCAGGGTAATCCAGATATCGCCTGTTATTCTGTAGAATGTACACGCGACAGTGAGTGTACTTTGGATAAGAGTTGTGTGAACAACAATTGCGTGAATCCTTGTCTGATCTCCGATAATTGTGGAGTAAACGCCGAATGTTATCCTAATAACCATAAAGCAGACTGTAGATGTCGTCAAGGATACCATGGAAACTCTCTAGATCGTTGCAGAGTGATCGGTTGTTATAGTAATGGAGACTGTCCTGGAGATCATTCTTGCATCAATATGCAGTGTATCAATCCTTGCGTTCACAGTAATCCTTGCTCGTCTCTAGCTGAGTGTAGAGTCTTTAACCATCTACCCATTTGTCGTTGCCCAATTTATTACATTGGCAATCCTTACATTGCTTGCAAACCAGAAGAACGACCAGAATGTAAAGAGGATAGTGACTGTCCTAATTTGTTAGCCTGCTTTGATAATAAATGTCAGAATCCATGTTCCGTGGTGCAACCTTGTAGCGAACCATCGGAGTGTAGAGTACTTCCAACATCTCCGGTTCGCACGATGGTTTGCGTATGTCCCAGTGGATACGTGAGTAACGGCAGTGGAACTTGTCGACCTACCAAACCAATTTTGAAGATCGAATGTGCAAGGGATAGCGATTGTCCTTCGGATAAATCTTGCGTGAACGCGATATGCAAGAATCCTTGTGCTTGCGGTCCTAATGCGGATTGCAACGTTGTTAATCACAAACCAATATGTTCCTGCGTACTAGGATATGATGGAAATCCTGATGTAGTGTGTACCAAAGGTGAGAATTGTTGGCCTGTTAAAAAAATTAGATTCAATCTATTCTTTTTTTTATTTCTTGTATCCTATTCGTTACCAAAAATCATTTCAGAAAAATTATGACTTGTTGATCTTTTCTTTTATTTTATTTAATTTGATATGTAATTTTTAGTTGCTGGATGTCGCACGGATAGCGAATGTAGCGGATCGCACGCGTGTCTGCAACATAATTGTGTTCCCGTTTGCTCACCGTCATTGACCACTTGCGGAAAAAATGCCGAGTGTCATGGTATCAATCACAAAGCCATCTGCGAATGTCTACCAGGATTCGGTGGCAATCCGAGAGTTTCTTGCGTCCTTCTCGGTTGTAAGAGTAATTCTGATTGTCCTACCAACAAAGCTTGCATCAACAACCGCTGTGAGAATCCTTGCGCAAAAAATCCTTGTACCGGAATTATGGATTGTAACGTTTATAATCATATAATCGAATGTGCTTGTCCTCCTGGCTATATTGGAGATACCAAAGCAGGATGTGTCAAATGTAAGAATCAATTAATCGATATTTTTAATAATCAGTTTTATTTGACACAATTAAATAATTGAACTATTCCTCATTTATTCTTCATTCTTCAGTGACAGAAAAATGCAAAGCAGATAATGAATGTCCATCCCAAACTGCTTGTTTCAATGGTGAATGTATCAATCCGTGCGTGAAGATTGAACCTTGTGGAATAAATGCGGATTGTAAGGTACTCGATACGTCTCCTGTGAGAACCATGATATGTGAATGCATTCCTGGATATAGAGGAAATGCGGTCGTCCGCTGTGACAAAAGTAATATCTCGTTCTTAATCAAATAATTTGTAATCAACAATGATTCAAGATTACAGGAGAATTTTTAAATAAATTTTTAAATAATTTATTTCGTTTTACAGCGAATGTATGTGCAGTAGAAAAAAGTGAGATTCTAGATGAATATGGCAATTGCGTCTGTCCACCTGGTTCAGCTAAGAATGAGAAAGAAATGTGTATACCATGTCGTAAACAATCTGGAATGATAATCAATGAAGAAGGATATTGTGTGTGTGCTCTAGAGAACGGCATGATCATCGACGAGTATGGCCGTTGCGTATGTCCAACTCATCATGGATATAGACTAGATGCAAATGGATATTGCAAACCTGGTAAATGAAAAATATTATTTTTTTATTTGGTTAATTTTTTGTTTGCATAAATTTCATTTATTTAATTAATTTTGTAGCCGACATAATCGAGTGCAAACACGATGATGATTGCGCCGATAACAGATTCTGCGATAAAACCAGTCAGACTTGCGAAGATCCTTGTTCAATTCAATTATGTGGTCTTTATGCACTTTGCAATGCTACTCGTCATCAAGCTATTTGCATATGCATCAATGGCTACATTGGAAATGCTTACACTCAATGCTGTAAGATATTTTTGTTATAGGAGAGATCTATTGATGTTCTTCTTGAATTGTACTTCGTTTGAATTTGTTGATTCTAGTTGTTTTATAATTATTGTCTGTAATTATTTTTATCTATAGAATTCTATCTGTTTCTATCATAAATTTATCTTAGATTCGTTCGTCGATAATATTAACGCAGTGTATCTATTATTATACTGCTTTAAATTGTAGTGCTTTAAATTCTTAATTTTCTATTTATCTTTTAAACTTTTTTATGTAATTCTAATTTGTATTTAAAGATATTTGATTCAACTTTGAACTTGACTATGTAAAATCTTTATTATGAATTCTTTTTTAAGATCTTATCTGTTTTGAAATTCTTATTATCTATTTTATCTATAGCGTTAGAAATTTTTGCTGTCTATTTTGAGTTTTTCTGTCTGATTTGAATTCTTGCTATTTAATTTAGAGCTTTTGCTTACTTTGAAACTGTTGTTGCTTTAAAATTCTGTTTTTTCTGTTTTTTGTAGTTCAATATTCTTAATGACTTGTCTTTTATGATTTCCTTTCATTATATCTTTAAAATTCTCACTGAGAAAAATAAACACTTATATAGTAAAAACTCTAATTATTATCTCTCAAAAATAGTAATTATTTCTGAGTGTGCTATAATTCTTTCATAATCGTGAATTCTAATAAAATGATTTTTTTTTTTTGATTTCTCAGACGATAAGAATCGATGGCGCACTGATTTCCCCAGACCAGAAATGGTTGTCAGTTGTTTATCTGATGGAGTGCAAGTCGAGATTCATCTCCATGATCAAGAATTTGATGGTGTTCTATACGTCAAAGGTCACAGTAAGGATGAACAATGCAGAAGAGTTGTCTCCATTCCAGCAGAAACTATGCACAAAACTGAAATATTTAAAGTAGCGTTCGGAAATTGCGGACTTATTCACGTAAATGTAAGTTTTCTTTTAATATGAAAATCAAAATTTATTAAATTTATCGAAATCTGTTCATATTCTTCATTTATTTCAAATTTATTAATAAAAATATTTTTAACAGGGACAAGCCAGTTTCGTATTAGTCATACAAAAGCATCCAAAATTAATGACATATAAAACTCAAGCTTATCATATCAAATGCATATATCAAACCGGAGAACAAAATGTCACTCTCGGCTTTAATGTTTCAATGTTAACTACTGCTGGTACAATTGCTAATACTGGTCCCCCACCAGTTTGTTTAATGAAGATTGTCACTCAAAATGGAAATGAAATAAGTTCAGCCGAAATTGGAGACAATTTGATGTTGCAAGTCGAAGTCCAACCTTCCAGTGAGTATATTCATATTCATATATATCATATGTATATTATAAGTCAATGGATTTTTTTCTTGTACTAATTAATTGTAACTGATTTTAACATTTTAATATTTTAGCTATTTACGGTGGATTTGCCCGAAATTGTGTAGCTAAAACGATGGAAGATAAATTGGAGAACGAATATATTGTAACAGATGAGAATGGCTGTGCAACAGATCCAACAATATTCAAAGAATGGGAGCAGAATCCTGAGACACAGACATTAATGGCCAGCTTTAATGCTTTTAAATTCCCAAGCAGTGATAACATTCGGTTCCAGTGCAATATCCGTGTATGCTTTGGACGTTGTCAACCCGTAAGTTTTTATTTCTTTGATATTGGAACATATAACGTACATTTTAAAATAAATCATATATAATGTATATTTCAAAATATAATTATCATTTTCTTGCAGGTCAATTGTCGAGGATACAACGCGTTTGGTCGTCGTCGTCGAGATGTGAATTCTGAGATAAATGATACATCCTTAAGTATTACAGATAATTACGAAGGACAACTTCGAGAAGAAATAACAATCCAGTCGAATTTGATATTCACTCTGGAGAAGCAAGAGAGGTTGACAGCAGATCCAGCTGAAAGTAAGATTATATTTTTTTCTTCTTTAATATTAATGAGAAAATTTTTAAAATACTTAATTACTCCAATGTGATTTTTTTTTATTTCAGTTCCTGCAGCTCAAAGAGTGGAAGACATTTGCGTTTCTATGGTTGGCTTTGTGATAGCATTAGTAATTACAGCACTCTTGGCACTAGTCGCTGTAGCTATTGCTGTTTCATGCTGGCTAATGGCGTATCGTCGCCAGCCAAAGACTGCTGGACCACTGCCACACCCACCAGAGTTCCCAAATCCATTGTTCACTACCGAATCTGTAGCTGAACCGTCTCCTGATTATCACCTATCTTAAGTGTTTTAGGATAATTATTATTTTTTAACGTAATTCTTAATGAAATGCAATACAGACCACAATTTTGTTTTTCTTACTGGTCGGTCTTGTATTTCTATCAACGACTCTTCCAGTGACTAAATTTCCGTTTCTTTCTTCTGGAGGGTTCACATACAACATGTTGTACGTTCATTGTTATATATGAGTACCTCGAATTAAGATATATATATATATATATATATACATATAGATAGATAAATAAATAAAGATTGCGAGAGAGAGAGAGAGAGAGAGAGAGAGAGAGAGAGAGAGAGAGAGAGAGAGAGAGAAACATTTGCTATTTATGGTGATGGTTTGCTTCCATTATCTACAACACAATAGAACTTCCAATTCTTCCAATATACTACTTTTTTCCTACACTTTTTCTTTCCATTTTCTCTTTCTTCAGTCATTGGAAGATTTGTTAAGCGTAATACAACGAATTTAATTCCCGTGTAAAGTCAAACGAATTAGTCTAATATAGCTTTCTTATGTCGTGCGTAGGTAACTGTACATTTTCTCTAATAAAATGCTAATGTAATATTTTTAAAATGGTTTATTATACTATACCTTAATATTTATTTGTTCAAAAAAAAAAAAAGAAAAAAATAAAAAGGAACATACTAAAACATGTAAGTATCGAATCGAAAAAAATTATATTTTATTATAAATTATAAATTAATAATAAAATAAATAAATTAAATATTTATTTCCGTTACATTTTTATATAATTTACAAACGGTAAATGAATATCTAATATATATATATATATATATATATATATATATGACTTCAAATTATATTTTATTGCATATAATAATGATAATACTGCTAAATGATTCTAGTAATTTTTAAATAGTAATTTTTAAATATCACGATTCATTTAATATTCACAAATGGATGTAATTTATTTTAGGATATTTAAAGAATTTATGATGAAAATTTATAATAAGTAACTTCTCGAATATTATATAAGTAATATTATAAATACATAAATAAAAAAACTGAGTATTCAATATTAGAATAGAATAAAAATAGAATGTAATAAATGCATTCAAAATATCCGTTGAACATGACAATGTATTTTAGAAATATCTACGTAGCGCTAAATTATTTGTAACGTTATGGTAATCTGTAATATTTGAAAAATATTTTTAATATATTTATTTATAATTTTATTTGCGTATAAAATTGTCTTGCAATTCTATCTTTTCTATTAGAATTGAAGATAGACAAAATTCCGACACAAATAACTCCTATACATAATATTATGATTAATTATCCTTTGATAACTGCAATCGGTCTTAATTTTATACATTTCCGCGAAATGCCTGCAGCATGACATGTATTTACAACGTCCGTTACATTTTTATAAGATTCTGGTGCTTCTTCCATTACTAGCTTAGGCGAAGCGACTCTAATTGATATTCCTTGTCGTTCTAATTTTTCTAATACATCTGTATAATCCAAGTTTCTACGTGACTTTGCTCTAGATAAAGCTCGTCCCTAAATAGAATTCATATTCAATTTATATATAATTTTATAAGAAACAAATTTTTCACAAATACTTACTGCTCCATGACAAGTAGATCCAAATGTTTCTTTCATAGCTTGATCAGTTCCAGTAAGAACATAACTACAAGTTCCCATAGTACCTCCAATTAAAACAGGTTGACCTGTTAATTGATAGTCTACAGGAATCAAAGGATGATGAGGTGGAAATGCTCTTGTTGATCCCTAACAAGAAATAATTATATATAATAATTGAATATAATTCATTATTTTTACTTACTTTTCTATGTACTAGAAGTGTTTTCTGTTTTCCATCGACCATATGTTCTTCTATTTTTGCAATATTATGAGAGACATCATATATAACATGCATATCTAAATCATCAGGAGATAATCGGAATTGCTTGGCAAATGCCTGTCGACTAAGAAATGTCATAGAGCTTCTATTAACCCAAGCAAAATTAGCAGCTGCAGCCATTGATTTTAGATAATCTTGACCTTCTTGAGATTTGATATGAGCACATGCTAATTGTCTATCATTAGTTTCAATATTGTCTCGTTTCATAGCTTTTTCCATTTGTACAAGAGCATCTATAATACAAATAAAAATTAACATATATTATTTTTTGAAAAAATTTTATTATTAAAATTTATTATTAATATATTCATTACCAGTTGCAACTTGATGTCCAAATCCTCTACTACCAGAATGAATCATAACACAAATTTGACCTTTTTCTTCAATTCCCATTTTGCATGCAGCCCATTTATCATAAATTTCATCTACAACTTGAATCTCAGCATAATGATTTCCTGCTCCTAAAGTTCCTAACTATAAAAAAATTTACTTGAGAATTTGAAATTTTTAATATTTATGCATGTAAAAATATATTTTCAGTACCTGTGGAAGCCCACGTTTTTTAGCTCTCATTGATACTTTTGAAGAATCTGCATTAAGCATTCTACCATATTCTTCACAATGTTCTTTATCTTCTGCCCAAATATAACCTGTAGAAAGTTGAAAAATAAACTTATTATTAATAATAAAAATTAATTGGTTCTGTCTAGAATATTTGGATACCTTCTCTGAGGGACCAATCCATTCCCATTTCTAAAGCTTCTTCTAAATCACGTGCATTCATAGGTATAATTCCTTTTGAACCAACACCAACAGGAATATGATCAAACATACTTTGGGCAAGTTGTTCCTAAAAACAATCATTAATTTATTTTTATTTCTATGATATAATATTAAATATTAAAAAAGAAATTACCTTTACAGGTTGAACATCCTCTTCAAAAAGATTAGTTCTTAATAATCGTACTCCACAATTTATATCAAATCCTACTCCACCAGGTGATACTATAGATTTTGGATCATTCATATCAAATGCTGCCATATTACCAATAGCAAAACCATATCCAGAATGTACATCAGGCAATCCAACAGATCTCCAAACAATTCCAGGAAGGGCAGCAACATTAGCAATTTGTTTCATGCCTGGAAGAAAGCCACCTACTGCTCCTGGTCTACATGCATTTTTCAATTCATCAAACATTAAACGTTCTAATGTATTATTTACATAAAAAACACCTTCAACCTAAACCAAAAAAATATTAGAATATGTGTAAAGATAAAATATATCATTATAATTGATTTACCTTCATATTAGGTTGAAAACCTTTTTTTATTTTCCAGCATGTATCAGTTATTTTTTCTAAGAATTTTAATTCTTCTTGATATTGTCGAACTACCATTTTTTATAATAAATTTTCTTTTTCGTTTAAAGATATATTAACTGTCTCTAAATTCCAAACTACAGATTATATTCTTAATCGAATATAATTTCTTATAAATTTTTAAATATAATCTTTTTTTTAATTAATGTTATAAAAAATTAAACTAGGAAATATTGTTTTTTTTATTTATTATTAACATAAAACATTAGCCTTTTAATAGCAATGATATCGTCGGTTTCTTTGATTGCACGATATATACATTTTATTCCATATTGCAAATATTATATAGAATGATTGTCAGACAAAGCAAGACAAATATAGATAAGAATAAATAGTGGAAGAAGGACAGAGATAGAATAAAAATTCGAAAATCAGCGCCATCTCTAGAGTGCCGCAAATCAAACAGTACAAACAAGGAGAGTAAATAATAGAAGAAAGATAGAGATAGGGTAAGAATTTAAGACAGCTAGCGCCATCTGTTGAGTAATAAATATTCTTTCAAATTTTTGCTAAAAATACTTAAGAGATGGCGTTAATTTTCATTTCTTATTTCCCTATTTTGAAGAGATATATTTAATATCTTTAATCTCATATAGATGGCAATAATAGTCCGATTTTGGTGTATCTCTGTTCTTTTATTATTTACTCTCCAAAATTTATGCGCTTAAAAAATAATTATTTAAATTAGAACATATAATAATATAAATAAAGAGAAATAATAAAAAAAAATATTTTTAAAGAAATAAATGTATCAAAAACAAATTGATTATCGTTACATTTAATTTTTTTTCATACTTATAATGCTCTTATCTTATTCCTTTCTAAATCAATAATGTAAAATGAGAATTAAGATTATATATATATACGAACTATGTAATGTAAAAATGCATTAGATGCATTAGAAAAGTCTATCATATCCATGAATACTGCAGAGTATTATATATAAAGTGCAAATATGGCTACTCCTGCAAAAGCAGCTGTGAAACATGTAAAACCAATTTTATCATTGACTCCTATAGAAGCTCGAAGAAGAGTAATATCATTATATAAAACATGGTACCGACAAATTCCATTTATTTGTAAGTTTATTCATTATATATCTTCCTCTTGGTAATTAGTGGAATATATTGTTATCTAACCTATTCGTGTTTAAAATAGTATACTGATATAAGGATATCGTAATTTATTTTCTTTGTATAAAACGATAACAATTGTTTTGTATAAAACAATTAACAATTAACAATTAAATATTTTAAATTTTTAAAATACAATTTTTTGTTTGCTTATTATTATTTTTATAACAGAGTTATGAAATATAAATGTATACATAATTTATTTTGTAGTGTCCAATTATGATCTTCCAAGAACAAAAAAAGAGTGTCAACAAAAATTAAGAGAGGAATTTAAACGTAATGCTCATATAAATGATTTAAGAGTAATTGATTTGTTACTTATTAAGGTAAAGAAAATGTATGCTTTTTATTTAATAATATAATATATATGATATTAATAATAATAATGTTATATTAGGGACAAATGGAACTTCAAGAAGTTTGTGCTCAATGGAAACCACCTGCAACAGTGTTGAATTATTGGAAGGAAACACATGAACCAAAGCCAAAAGATTTTATGTCAAAGTTTTTATCAGGTCAAGATTAAATTTTATATAGTATAATTAAATATGTAAAATTTATAAATTATATTAAAAGAATATATAGTTGTCTGAAAATTAAATATGGAAAAAAGAAGAAAATGTACTTTTTTATTAAAAAATCGAATTATACAACATTTCAAAAGATGAATTTTTAATCAGCTCTTACAGAAGATAATATTTCTTTTAATTTACATTTTATCTTTACATCTATATATTATTATTCAGTTATATATACATTTGACAAGATGATATATTACTAAGCACCTTAGGTACAATCTAGTTCACTTTTCACAGCCATACGGATAATTTGCTTTCCTTCAGTGAACAAGTATCGAAATTATACATACATACATATATATACATACATACATACATACATATGTTGAAACAAGTATATTCGAACTTGCATAAATGTACATTTGCGCGTTTTTTCTTCTTTTTTTTTCTTTTCTTTTTTATTATTATTATTATCATTATTATTATTATTATTATTATTACAATGGGAGTCGTTTGTTCTATCTTGTGATAGACTTTTTTACATGATTTCTGTACTCGTGTATACTTTGGTTAGAATCATTTTTATAAAAGTCATTCTAGTTTTATTATATCCTCAAATTAAAAATTTTAACAGATAAATCTTGCACTATGTAAAAAAAAAAATGTTCGCCGCCAATATAAAGCGCACTTTAATACAAATCATAAAAATATCTAGATATTAAAAATATACACAATCGGTAACTTTTATACCCATACATTCCACATATCTATACGCTAAAAAATGGCAACAATACATCATACTTATGACTCATAAATGTAATAATGTTTTTGTGCATTCGTCTTTTACATCAAGAGATTTTGTGTTCGAATTCCCTTTACTTCTTTTCTTAACTATACAAGTAATTTTGCATCAAACTATACTTTCACGTTCCGACTGTATATCGTAACCCGCTATTACACCCCTTCTTAACGAAACATCACTATTTCGTAGTCCATTGCCACTGAACAGATTTACCAGCCAGCTTCTAATCGAATTTCTTGCAGAAGATTTTTTGTCAGGCACACTGTCTGTACTAGGAACGGATACTACTTGATCGAGAGAACGCCAACGTTTAACAGGCACAACTTCTCCCATACAACCACTCTCGTCTCCTAGCAATGGTGTCTCTACTTCATTCGGTGATTCATCGGTATGGGGTAATATTATCACATTACCATTCGGATAATTGTTATTCAACACTTTCTCAGAAATATTTGTCTTTGAGTTAGTCCGTGTGCACTTTTCACAATTTTCTAAAGATCGAAAACTTTTCTTCGGTTCTTTCCAAGAGAAATTTGGTGACTCGAACCTTTTATTATAAAGCTCCAATGGGAACGGGTCTAAGGAACGAGATTCTCGTATTATCGTTTGGAACGGATAATCGCTCGTAGAAGACGATGAAGCAATGGTCGACAGAACTCTTGCATTTTTTCTAAATTTTAGCCTTGTGTCAATAAAAAAATCATCAAGTGCCATTTTAATATTAGCCGCCCGATTCTCAACTTCTTCTTGCAATGCGATATTATCTAACGTTGTTTTTGATACACTATCGGTCAAATACAGAGGAGAATGTTCTACTTTTCGACAGTTAAGAGATTTAGGCACTGGACTGGATCCTCCGCATTGAGATGATGAATCATCCGGTGTCGGTCTTGGAACATTTGACTGTCTGCGACTACCTGCCCCTAAACCACCTAACAACGAAGCTTGACGAGAATCTGAATTTAATTTCGGACTTCTCCTTGGTCTACAAAAAAGTGGTGGAAGATCACCGACATCGACCTAATAACATAAAAATATTAAATAAATATTAAATAAAGTTTACGTAATCATATTTAGTTATCATATTTCTTTTCGTACAAACCTCTCGTTTTTGAATGGCTTTTTCAGTAGCTCCAGTGAGCCAATAAGTTTTTACTTCTCCTTTTCCTTTCATATAAACCAATCCACGTTCTTCGATAATATAACCACCAACTTTATCCAAAGCATCTTTGCACTGCTCGCTTATGTGAATACGTAATGGCTCGCCATTTGATTCCATGCGTGAAGCTGTATTTACGGTATCTCCGAACAAACAATATCTAGGCATCGTTAGACCAACAACACCCGCTACCACAGGGCCTGTAATATTTGTTAATATAAATACAAATTATAAATAATTGTAATTTATATATTTTTTTTTGATTTGATATTCTTTATACTCTAGACACAATACCTGTGTGAATTCCAATACGCAATTTAAGAGTGTCTTGAGGTCTATGAGTTATAGTATGATGTTTCACAGCGTTAAGCAATTCTAGGGACATCGATGCAATTTCTCCAGCGTGTCTATTTCCATTTTTTATGGGTAAACCAGAAACCTAATAAAAAATACAATTATACAGATTATAAAATTCTGTAAAATAAAAAAATATATAATCCTGCAAAAAATTTACATACCACCATATAGGCATCACCGATTGTTTCTACCTTATATACGTCATATCCTTTGATTATACGATCGAACAAAGTGTATAAATCGTTTAAGAAGTTTACTACCTGAAAAATAAAAGAAGAAATATATCAATTGTATCCATAGGAAGTTGCATATTATGTTTCTTCGATGATTAGTTTGCGAGAAATATACTTGGAAAGGTGTGCTTTCCGCTGACATTGCAGTAAAACCAACGATATCGCTGAAATATATAGTAACTAAATCAAAAGCTTCAGGTTCCACACCGATTCCATTCGTCAAACAATTTGCAACGGGTCTGTAAAAAATAAATAATATTATTAATATATATATATATATATATATGTATATATAATTATAAAATTTTTTATATAAATAACTTACTCAGGCAACATTCTGTGAAGTAAATCTTCGGTTTTTTGCTTTTCCTCGAAAAGAAGGCGTGTACGTTCACTGACTAGATCTTCGAGGTTGTTCGCATATTTCTCCATCATGTCCATCATTTGGTCCATGATATTGCGATGCCTTCCCGCTTTCATTTTCTTTAATCTCGTCCTTATCATTTTGAAGTCAGGCCTAAGTTCTGGACTTTCCGCCCAACAGTCGGTAATCGTACTAACTATATACTCTGCACAATCCGCTTCAGACTCGGACAGTATGTCTATGTTAGGTCTAAACGGTGGTTCACCATCTTCTGGGAACCTTTTCACTCGGTCAATGATTTCTGTCAATTTGTTAACGTTCATATTTATATTTCTGCAGCTATACCTTTTGGCAAATGCCGATTAACGAATGACAATCGCTAACGCTTACTCTATCTCTTATTTTACACGAACATTTACCTTTGGGTTCTAGATTCACGCCACCATACGGACCCTTCCGCCCGATTATCTCGAACAATATAATCGCAAACGAGTAAATATCCCCTTCCTGGGTCCCTCTGATTGGAGCATTGGGATTTCTTAATAATTCAGGTGCCTTCCAGAATAAGTCTGTATAGAATATTATATATATATATATATTTTTTTTTTACAAATCAATAATCGTAAATTAAATATCATAACATTCTCCTTTCTTACTTCGATAATACTGATGTTCACCAATGCTGTCGGATTCGGCGCAATGTCGCATATCGTGCAGGCCAAAATCAGAGACTTGGAGTACCCATCGCGATGTCACCACGCAATTGGAAGACTTCAGATTACCATGACAGACTAGTACAGATGAATCGTGAATGTACAGCATACCCTAAATAAAAGAAAGGAAATATATATATATATATATATTTTTTCACAATCAAAATATCTTCGATACCTCTTCCTAAATGTAAACATATGTAAAAATATACTTACCTTAATGAGATCGTGAACTAATGAAGCGATGAACATATCATCTAACTTGATATCTTCGTTCTCGATAATATCCTGAAACACGCACGCAATGTAATCATTCGTTGAAAACACGAGCAGACCAGATTACACGTTCATTCGTGTATTAAGGTGACGTACATAAAGACTTCCTTTGGCGCAATAGTCCGTAATTAACAATATCCTCATTGGCTCGACGCACGCTCCGATGAAAGAGTTCAGGTTACCGTGTCTGATCTCGCGAAGGATACGCATCTCCTTCATCACGTCCCTCGAAATATCCTTCTTCTTCGAGAACTTTAGCTCCTTTATCCTAACCACTACCCCGTGGTAATGCCCGGTTTGCGCGAACACCTGGCCCCCGCATCTTGACTCGTAGGACATTGCACTAACTAAGCTTAACTGTAATCAAACATCAACAATAAATAACGATGCAAAAATTAACCCAACAAATTAAAAATACAATACGAACGAATAACAAATATCTCTTTCAATTCGTGAAAATTCCCTCTTAAAAATAACAACCTTGTGTCATTACAGATATTATATATCTGGAGACGAGAAATCGTCGTGTGGGCTCACCTTACTAGGGGAGGACATCATGTTGTCAAGATGAGGATAGCCGTGTATCTCGTTCGGATCGATTTTCCACAGCAATCCCTCGATTTCCTGTTCTATCTTCCATCTTCGATATATGCTCATAGTGATTACCGCGGCGCAGAATAACAAAACGGCCAACACACCGGCAGCAACGATACTTCGCAAATGAGTGTCGTCTTTGGGACAGTGCTCGTTGAGGAAACCGCATCCCGGTTCCGCTTCCGGTTTATTCTTACCCGGCCAATCCATCGCCTCCGACGGCCTGTACACCTGGACAACACGAACGAATATTATTATTTATCATCACTCGATAAATATATTTTTAATCACGATCGAGAAATAAATAAAGCATTCTTCTTGGCCGGGATACACGAATTTGTAGGAATTTGTTCGATGAATGGAAATGAAATGCTGCACGAATGCTGTAAACAACTCACTCACTAGAGTTTCACCCTGTTGAAATTGGCCTACAGGCTTCATTTGAAAGTCGCACGAGAAGTTGTTGAGACGGAACGGATCCTTCTTCAGGGCCAACACCGAGAAATTCCCCTCCGAGTCGCCGAACTTGTCGAACTTGATGGTCGCTCCGCTGACACCTGTTCTCGAAGGAAACGCAATTTCGTTATTCCTTTTTCTTTTTTTC